TTCGGACAAGCGCCACTTTGAATTCCAGGTATTTGAGCTATCGCGTACACTACCCAATCTATCTCTACAAGCAATATCCCTTTTCTTCTGTTTTCCAATCTTACCTAATTAATGCCAAACTGCCCCAATTGAAGGCAAAATTGCATCATCAACAACCTTTAATAGTCCACTGACATAGGCCTCCCTCTCTTTAGAAAGGAGAAGCACCACGCAGGCCACACGGGTTGAAATAAGGTTTTTGACAAGTCTAACTTCTCTTCAGTGCTGTTGTCCAGCATAGTCTGTGTCCATAGTCGGCTCTTGACACTCCGTATTCTTAATCCGTCATCACATGGATAAAAAAATTGCATCAGCCTGACAAAATTATAGTTCGGTAAGGTTTTTCCAGCGTCCTTTATCACTAAATATATTATGGCAGATCGATGCGGACTGCCCAAGATCGTGATAGTTGGTTCCTTAGGGGAGGTCTTGGTTCAGCAGTAGACGGCGATAGGCTGATGATGATATTATATATGATATGTTACGATTTCAATAACTACACAATAATATCCCAAGAAAAAAGTTAAATAAATATATATTATTATAATCTAACTATAAGAGTCAACCCTCCACAAAAAAAATTATCTACAAATTGTTTGTTTTTGCTTAAAAATGTATTTGTTTTATCTGCTCAGCAGAAACGCTTTATACGAAAAGTACATAAAGTTAACTATTAATTACAATATAATGTCTTAAATCCTTACATACTAACACAAAACGACACACAATTGTAAACTTACATGTATAATCTGTGGTCACATAAGTCTTTTGTCATTGCGACATGGACGGCCATTTTTATATTAAGTTGAAATATCAATTCTTAATTATATCATATCATTATTGTTTTATTTTCTGTATAAAAGCATTTTCTAATATAGATAGACTTAAATAGACAGCCGATTTGAAGTGTATTCATACAGGTGTTACAGATAGGTGTGGTTATATTATATGTGAGTATAATAGTGATTTATGTGTGGGTATATTAGTGATTTATGTGTGGGAATATTAGTGATTTATGTGTGGGTGTTCTAGTGATTTATGTGTGCGAGTATTAGTGATTTATGTGTGGGTGTTCTAGTGATTTATTTGTGGGTGTATTAGTGATTTATTTGTGGGTGTTCTAGTAATTGATGTGTGGGAATATAAGTGATTTATGTGTGGGTATATTAGTGATTTATGTGTAGGTATATTTGTTATTTTACACATCAAGAGAACAAAATATAACAATGATATTTAATACCAAGAATATTAATGTAACACCCGGCTTTTTTCTAATAATGCTTGCATAACAAATCATTTTTTTCAATGTCAATTATTTCTCAGCTATATAACATATAACATGTCTAAAATTTAGCCATATCTTTTTTGTAACACCTTTGTATAATAAGAAGATAAGGTAAAAAGGTAATTAAAATTGATAATTTCGTTTTCTTGAAAGCGTAATGCACTAATTTAAAATTGTTGGACGGAAGTATAACCCGAGACATTGTAGAAGGCACTATTTTTAAGCTTAACTAGTACACGGACAATTCATTTTCATTTGGATAACATATATTAAATAGCTGCAAATTGAGATTCAATATATATACAAACATAATGTTATGTTATAAAAATATAAAAAATGTAAAAAAAAGTAAGAAAAGGACTTACGAAACATACGTTGTATATCGCGAAGTATAAACAACACAAATTGAAAACTAATTACATAATATAATTTTTTTTCTTTTTTCAACTGTGTGTACTAAAGATATGTCTTATGATGTAGGGCAGAGATTCCCAAAGTGGTCGATATCGACCCCTCAGGGTCGACATCGGTTTCATATTGGTCGACATAAACGAATACTGATTTTTGGGGTCGACCCCAAAAATCATTGATAGGGGTCGATTTTTAGACCTTGAGACTGAAACTTTCAAGATACTCTATAAGTTGTATTACGTGTATGAACTTGTTACATAAATGACTAATATTTTAGTAGTATAGTAGTATCACTTAAAAAAAACTCATCCACCGATAGTCGAAAAGCAGTAAATTGGCTATAGGGGTCTGAGGTATCAGTTCATTTTAGTAAAGGGGTCTCTTGCAAAAATACTTTGGGAATCCCTGTTGTGGGGGTAAACGAGCAGTCAGATCACCTGATGATAAGTGTCATGAAACACATTGCGTTACCCTTTTATGACTCATTGATGATAATTCTGTTTTTCGAAAACTCTATAGTAAATAGGCTTAAGCAAAAAAATGTACATGTAATGTACAATTAATTTACAGAAAATGGATGATTGATATTCAGCTTACAGTTTACACAGTCATTTTTCTTTCTTCACCTCACATTGTTACCGTTATTAAAGCTAAACTAAACTAAAAATCACTAAATATTAGTTTAGTCCTGTCAAGTACTACGTTGATCACATGACTACACTAAATTTTAGTGATTTTTAGTTTAGTTTAGAGAGTTTTCGAACAATAGAATTAGCACCATTGTGGGGGGTCTTGCGTTAACCTGACTCAGTCAATGAAAAAATTGCATAACACCGGTTTTCTTAAAGGTTTTCACATCAGTCGAGCCGGCTCATAATTACATGGCCTCCCACAGTTATTTATAGCCAAAGTGCTTTAGTCACGTTAGCTTAACTCTACTTTTAATATACACACATAATTCATAACCTCCACAGTATTTGCACACTATCTTTTTACGAGAATTACAATCTAGAGAATGGCCTGGCTTCATATTAAAATGTCCATTACATATCGACAATTCTGTTTATTACTCACAGCTAATTTCATCCTATTTCAATAACGCAATTGACACACAGTATAGTTTTTATATCTTTGTATATGAGATTTAATTTTATAATATGTAAGAAACATACTTAGAATCAAAGTGACCTAACTCAAAATCTCTAAAACATCTGATTTTGCTATCAATTAACATTAAAGGAGCTGGATGCGAGAAGCCCAAAATCGAACTGAGTGGCGTGCAATGGGAGAGGCCTATGTCCAGCAGTGGACTGCGATAGGCTGATGATGATCATTTAAAATCCAACTTTTCATAGCAGAGGGGGCTGCAAGCTGCAAAATTTTATAAACGCGGTGAGAGGCTAAATAAACCTCTTCCTCTGAATAAGAGGTGGGAGGTTAGGCTTCTAATAATCGCAATCACTCTGTGAGATGCAACGAAAAAGTGCATATGTGCCGGAGCATAGCCTTCCCATGGTTTAAAGCTGTGGTGACTTTATAAAAGTGGTGAATGAGATTCCAAATTATAAGTAAGAAAGGGACAACCTATACATCCGTCTCCTTCTTTAATCACACAAATATAATAGTCCTTTTTATACCCAATTCGCACAAATTTCATATCGAGTTAAGTCATTATCATTCTGAGGGTGTTATATCGTTATAGAATATACTGAGAAGTGTGGCACTATTAAATATCCACAAAACTGATTGATAAACGAAAAAAATATTGCAACGAACGAACAAAAGATTTCTATAAAAAATAATATCTATTACAGTCTCAAACACAATTATTTTTAAAACTTACATTCTAAAAAAAAACTATTTGTTTGATAATTCATTAAAAAAAAATTTAGTCGATATATAAAAAAATAGATATATTCTGTTATGGTTACGGTACTTTAGTACTTCTCTTGGTCACACAAATATAAAATAATTTTTGTGTATACCTAATATTGATTGAAAGCAATCAGGTTGTTGCTTTGCGTACAGATCATTCACTGGGTCTGAGTATTAACACATTACAGTGATAATATCTTTAGGATGCTTTGAAAACGGACTCAGATAAAAGGAGCAGTAAGGTTCTTTTTGTATTGTCATGAGCACTGTCACAGAGCAACATCTCAGTACAGAAAATTCTATTCTATTACAAAATTCATATTCTCACAAATAGTGTCACCACATAAAGTTTAATAAAAAATATTGCAATATCTAATAAACATACAACCATAGAAATATAAGGATAGAGAGAACACGGGGTACAGCTGCCTGTAAGTGGAAGCGATACAGGCAACGAGAGAGATGGATGCTTGATATTTCCCTGTCTCTGTTTAGCGAAGCTGTGATTGGCTATTTATATTCCCCTTATATTCCCCAGCCAACCATACATTTCGGCTAGAAAGAGATAGAGGGGACTACTAGACATAGAAATTATTGCTACTTTTAAATCATATTCATTTGATCATATAGTTTTAGCCACAACACTATCACATGTGATTGTGATTTCGTCATGGACAAATATAAATGCATTAAAATCAATTAAAATTCTTATCAAAGATTACGACCTTTTTTTTAGATTTAGACCTTCCAGAGTCTTACCCTAATAATAATAATAATTAAGTAGCAAAGGTTTTGTAAATCAGTCACGGGTGTGACGATATGATTTATAATTCATGTGATTTATCAAATGCTATTGCTATTTTAATTCATCCCTAGGATCCATCTCTCTCCCGTTGCCTATATTTCAATATTAGACCTCTTGTTTCCTCTAGGTTATATCTCTATGCATACAACTCTTCAATAGAGGCAGCGAGCGTTTAAGGTTCCGGTCCTAGCTTAGTCGATTAAAAGCAAAGAAAGGACTTAACACCAGTTTTCAGTGATGCGATGGTATCATTCCAATCAATTAGGCCGAAGCAGATCTCCCACAGCTAAACTTTATATTGTCATTACATTAACTTTAACCGTTATAACTTATATGACACTATTTGTGAAGATGTACCATTTATCAAAAGTATATAAATTTGCTAATTCAAATATACCCATTTCACTTTCACGTATTATACAGGCTTTCTCTCAATTAGTCTTGTATTGTGGTTTAAATGCAGGATTTTCTTTTTATGTTAGAGGGGCAGACGAGCAGACGGGTTACCTAATGGAAAGTGACCATCGCCGCTCATGAACGTCTGCAACTGAGGAGTCACAAACGCGTTGGTTGGACTCGGTTTGTCTATTCAATCATTACTTCAAAATGGATGAACCCGAGGCGTTCTTTTCTGTCGTATATAATGTTCCTGGCCCACACTCGACATTCTATGTTAATCACAATACCAGCTGAAAAGAAAATGGCGTAATAAGTGTATATAAATTATTTACATCCAAAACCGTTCAAAGGTATTTTTGGTTGAAATTACAGTCAAAATACTAGAGGAGAATGGAGCAGACTGGTAAAAATATAATTAGGTTAGATACTTTTTTAAATTGTAAACAGTTTAAAATGAATTTTGACTAAAGTTTTAGTAAATTAAAAGTAGCTCTGGTGCTGCATATCAGAGCTATTTTAATCTATTATCATTAATAGTGAGTATTTAGATATAACATATAATTATATACAGGGTGTAAGGGACGTCGTAACAAAGCCTGAAATAGTGTATTCAGACCATTATTCTGAGTCGAAAATCATTGGAATTATCTGCCGGCAACATTCATCACTTTTTTTTCATACACATTACGTAACGAGTCCTGGAATTAAGTATTTTATGAATCTTACCATTTCACGACTTAATAGTTCAATGAATATAGTGAATCAAGTAAAAGGGGCTTCATTTTTTTTTAATGACAACTCCCACATTAGGAATATAGCCTGTGTCGCGGGGGACTTTACAAACATACATGAAACGGACACAAAGAACACCCAGACTCAGAACAATAATTTGTGGATCACACAAAGTGTCGTCCCATGTGGGGATCGGACCCATAACACTCGGCGCAGTAGGAAGCGGCGTAGCGACCGTTTAAACCACTACGCCATCCGTGCAGTCGAGGCTTTTATATATTATCATATTTCTAATAAAAAACAACAAATACAGAAGATTAAAACACTTACTCTTCGGTTTCTGCAGGTGTATAGCTACTAGTGGACTTAGGTAGCCCTCAGCGTTCTCATATGGATAGAAGTACCCCGGGAAACCTTGGAACGGCAGGTACCTGATGGGACCGATGTTTTCTTGATCCGCCGGGGTTTCCCCATAACAGGATAGCCATACCATGTTAGCCTTGAAATTAATGATAAATAAATTGAAATTAATTTTAATTGTGACATGCATGCATGCAGTGATTAGAAACTACTATGTAGTGCAGCTTGTCTCCGCTAGATGCCGTAAAAGTATATTTTTAGCTTCATAAATATCTAATTTAATAATAAAACTATCATAGCAATTACACTGGCGCGATTAAAAATAATGTGATCCTTCAATACTTGACTTATTATGTTAAGTAAGTTTTGTGCTAACTCTAAGTCATAGTACGCCATTTTTGCAATAATAAAAACATTATTATTATTAAATGTTGTATCTTATTTAATTGTTTTTTTTTTTGTTTTTAAAAAGACAACTCCCGCATTAGGAATGTGTGTCCTGTGTCGCGGGGGACTTTACAAACATACATGAAATGGATTCAAAGAACACCCAAACTCAGAACAACAATTTGTGGATCACACAAAGTGTCGTCCCATGTGGGGATCGAACCCACAACACTCAGCGTAGTAGGAAGCGGCGTGGCGTCCGCTTAAACCACTGTGCCATCCGTGCAGTCAAGTTAAATATTCAATTCAATTCAAGCTAGTAATTATAATTTAAAAAGACTTCGAGAGAAATCACGAACCGCGTAATAGTAACGCAGGACGGCACGGGACAACGAGCCTTATTACTATTAGCATAAGATCGGAAATAGATTGTCGATCTCGATGTTGTTTACATTTAAAACGGCCACTAGGTTCTTGGAAACAGTAACCTTATAAGAATTTAATAAACAAATTAATGAAGTTTCTAGCGGTAGTACAAATACAGGCACGTCTTTGCCGGTGAGACAGTACAGTTTGAGCTACAGTGCGATAAATATGCTGGGTTACTCTTCTGTTCTCTTAGATTACTTTTTAAAGTGTCGTCGATTATTTTGTTATTAAGTATTTATTAGACTTATTCAAGTGTGTTAGTTAATAAAGTTCCTTAAGACGTCACTAGACATTTTATTTTAAATTAACGACCCGTAACACGTAACAGTGTGATAAATAATAATGGTTTAAAAAAACTAAAACCACGCTTTTTTTAGAAAAAAACCAAACCAAAAAATAGAAAATAAATTTTAATAAATTAAAAATTAATAAAATTTATTTTCTATTTTTTAGTTTTCTATAAAAAGCATTTTTTTTTAGTTTTTTAAACTATTTTTTTTAATAATATTATTTATTTTTATTTTATCATCATCGGTCATCGGTCCTCGAAATATCTACAAAGTTTCTGAGTCGAATTCTGACCGTTTAAAGTCAGTCAAAATCACGCCCAAAGGAGTCGGTTACAAACAAACAAAAGCTAATAAAAAGCGTGTAAAAATTAATACTACCGAATGCTTTTAACGCTTTATCCTAAAGAAAAACTGTCTGTGGAAGTTCGGACGCCGAGTGATGGATTAACCTCGTGAGTCTAGGCTTAACGCACTATTTTTTATAGGATTAGTAATGGAGTAAGGATTAAGGCTATAGCTCGAATGTTTTTATTTAAAGGTAACTCCCGCACTAGTAATAAATCCTAGAAATAAATTTTACAAACATACGTGAAACGGACACAAAGGACACCCAGACTCAGAACAATAATTTGTGGATCACAAAAAGTGTTGTCCCATGTGGGGATCGAACCCAGAACACTAGGCAGTAGGAAGCGGCGAGGTGACCGCTTAAACAACAACGCTATCCGTGCAGTCAATTAGGTTGTCTATATCACATGGCACGGGATTTTATTCCTTAAGCGATTCTGATTGGCTGGTCTGTTGGTCTAACTTGGTTAGTGATAATGACTGCTAAGCCGGAGGTAGTGGGTTCGATACCCACCCAAGACAAATGCTGTGTGATGAGCATGGTCATTTGTTCTAAGTCTGGTTGTAATTTATCTATAATATGTATGTATTTAAAAATATATAAGTATGTTTATCAGCAGTCTGGTCACCATAGCACAGGTTCTGCCTAGTTAGGGATCAGACAGCCGTATATATATTTAAATTAATAGTTTAATTAAGCATAATATTATTAGGTATAAAGTTACCAACGTTTTCTGGCAAATAATAGTATGTATTTGTGCGACATTGCTGCACAAAAAGTGCCTTCAACAGCAAAACCAGTTTTAGTTATAATTTAAACTTACAAAATTACTGTTGAAAGCTGTTAAGTTCTTGATATAATATTGGAGATCGTCAGGCATGTCGTACGGAAGATCTTGCACGTTGTCATAGACATCGGGATACCAGCCGTAGATTCTGCAAATTATCATAATATAGACAGTTAACACACACTTTTAATATTAAAAAGTAATAGTTTTAAAAAACTAAAAAACACGCTTTTTATAGAAAACCAAACTAAAAAATAGAAAATAAATTAAAAAAAAAGCGTGGGATGCTTTTTATTATTGACAACAGGCACCCAAAGCTTTTTTTCTGTAAAAAGCGTGTTTTTTAGTTTTTTTTTTAAACTATTTTTTTTTTTATTAATGTATTGTCATCGGTCCTCGATATATCTACAAAGTTTGAACGAATTCTGACCGTTTAAGGTCAGTCAAAATCACGCCCAAAGGAGTCGGTTACAAACAAACATACAAGTGAAAAATTGTTTCAGTGTTAGATAGCCCATTTATCGAGGAAGGCTATAGGCTATATATCATCACGCTAAGACCAATAGGAGCGGAGCACCAATGAAGAAAATCGTTTTTTTTTTTCCTTTTGAGAGCGTCCGCTGCGTAAACGGAAATAGCTCCTTAACGTACGTATCATTTAAAAATATTTTCACCCTCTACGTAAACGAAGTCCTCGTTATAACCGAAATCGAAATATAAACATAAACAGCCAAACAATCATCATCATATAAAAGGCCACTGCTGGACATATGCCTCTCCTTAGAAAGGAGGTTTTGGCCTACTATACCACGCTGGCCAAACGAGTTGGTATAGGGTTTGTTTCAAGTTTTCCTTCTTTTTGCACAGCTATTGTCCTGTGACGTTTGTTCCCTTAGTCGGCTCTTACGACACCCACGGGATGAATAGGGTTGGTGACGTTCCGTATTCTTAATCGGTCACCAAACAATATAAACAAGAAATCACTAGTTTCTATTTTCAAAAGATCAGGCAACCCTAGAAGCACAGAAAAATGGAGATTCAGGAAATATATGTTAAAACTTACTTGTTCAATTTGATGAATATGCAAGGTGAAGACTTGTGGAAAGAGAAGTGGTTTTCTTCGGTACACGGATCCAGTCCGCGGATATCAACGTCACACACTTTACCGGGGGGCGGATAGTTGTTGAAATTACAATTGAAAATGTTCTGACCAGTTCCAGCAGTCTGACCTTTCATTTTGTACACTGAAAAAGAATGAGAACTTTTTGGTTGAAATTAATAAAAAAAAATTACCTACTATTAACACACAATAATTTTCTATATATGAATATCATGTCTGTCTGTTTGTTCCGGGTAATCTTCAAAATGACTGGACCGATTTTGTTATTATTTAACTACCAAGTAGCTGTCTATATAAGGAGTAACTTAAGCTATTTTTTCTCTCAGAAAAACCCTATAAAATGTTGCCTGGTCCGGGAATCAAACTCACTAAGGCAGCGCTTTTCAAATTCCACGCGAACGAAATCGCAGGCACCAGCTAGTTTAAAATTTAATAATACATTTATGACAACGGCTGCACCAAACTATACGCGTATAATATGATGTACTGTCATGGTAGGAATTTAAAGCTTAACAATGATATTTCTACTTATACTGAATGAAACGAATACGAAAAAATATTTTATTAAGATCAAATTTGGACCACTAGTCGATCTCTACTCCTAACTAACGTTAAATTATTATTATGATTATTTTTAAATACAACTCCCGCACTAGGAATAAATCCTGTGTCGCGGGGGACTTTACAAACACACGAAACGGACACAAAGTACACCCAGACTCAGAACAACAATTTGATGATCACACAAAGTGTTGTCCCATGTGGGGTTTGAACCCCAAACACTCGGTGCAATAGGAAGCGGCGTGGCGATCGCTTAAACCACCACGCTATCCGTGCAGTCGAAGTCTAATTATATGTATATGAAAAGTTAATTTGTCCGTTTGTTTATTTGTTACGCTACTATAATCCGGCAATCTCGTGCGCGACCGTCCCGCGGAGTGACAGACAGTGGCGGGGGCGAGGTAGCGCGTCATTCTAGCACACGGCTACACACGAAGAGAAGTGTTTCCCTTCCCCGCTACACCACCCGCTACCCGCTGACATCTTGAGTACCTCGTCCCCGCCACCGTCTGTCACCCCGCAGGACGGTCGCGCACGACGTTGATGGACTACAGCCGTAACATCTTAGAAAAAATACATAAATACTATTTCGCGGTCAAAATCTAGTTACGTTATTACAAATGAGACTCTGTTTTGTGATTGAGTTTCTTTGTTTTATTTTATTCACCTTAACTACTAAACTGATCAGTATCAAACTTTAAAATATACATTGCTTGAGGTACATATATACAGATACATTTTACAGTATTAAAAATGAGCTTTACAATAGCCGCATACAATGTGTAACGTATGACATATCACGGTCCACTCTAGAACTGTGAGCGCTCATAAGAGCCAGCGCAGTGCGAAAGGATTTTTAAGACACTCAACTTTAAACCTATTGCTATAAATTGCATACATAATTGAACATGACCATATGTAAAATAATGGCAGGTTTGCAAAAAATACGACATTCAGTTTTTACCATATTTGAATACTATATTGTCTAAATATTATTACTACATTCAAGAAAAAAAATATATTTTAGATTTTAAATAATTCAGTGTTTGTTTAATAGGCTCTCAAAGTAAAATATGATTTTTCTAGAAAATTGCATTATTATTAGTTGTTATTTTTATTGCATTTTAAAACAAACCCTATTTTTCACTTGTATGTCAATTTTCATAATGACAGATTTAGAATTTAAAAAGTTATATCAAAAAACTAACATAATTATTTGCAACTAGCTGAGACCCGCGGTTTTACCCGCGTTTGTTGTTATAACCGCGGGCAACGCCGCGGGGCGAAGCTAGTCTAAAGAAAAGTAGCCTAAGTTACTCCTTATGTCATCAGCTATCTGCCAGTGAAAGTCCCGTCGAAATCGGTTCAGCCGTTCAAGAGATTACTCGGAACAAACAGACAGACAGACAGACAAAAAATGTAAAAAATGTTATTTTGGCATATGTACCGTGTAAACATACATATGCATTTAGTAAAAAGCGGTTATTTTAATATTACAAACAGACACTCCAATTTTATTTATTTGTATAGATGACTGCCCTGTAAAGTTCAATAAATGTCAGATCCGACACTATTATACGACTAGGACGAGATGTTACACATCAAAGAGTACGATGACCGAGGTATACTCGTAGTAAATTGACGGATAAAATTTAAATTAACTCAATCAAAAACTAGTACTCCATGATTAGGGGCAAAAACTAACCTGAAAGAAAATCTATAAGCTGATCCTCCCAGTATCTGTAGCTGTCATATCCAGTGCCTTTATACCATATCAGGGTGCTTCTAACATCTGGCGGTAGCGGCCGGAAAGCCAGCCCTGGACTGGTACCGATTACGCTGTACTCTTGCTGTAACCGAGGCACGCGAGGGTTGATGAAGTGCTGAAGAAATGTTAACAAGCAGGTGCCAAATAGTACCAAGAGGCATGTATAGAATATTGCGTAGAAGATTAGGAGTTTGCCTGTAAGAAAAAAAAAAATGATATTTTATTACGCTGGCAATTGTGTTCAGTATATTACTACTATTGTGCTGTCATAACGAAAAAAGGGCGCAGCTAACATTTTTCTAAATGGGAGAAAATCGAGTTTAAAATATTTCTTAGTTTTTGAGAATAAAAAAAGTATTTTATTTGACAAAAATGTATGAATGCTAATAGTAGCATCTACATGATTTTTATAAGATTATTTAATTGTGGTGACGGATTAAGAATACAGAGTGTCTGCCGTCTGCCGTATTTCCGAACAGATACGACCTTCAAACCTTCAAGAAAAGCGCGTACTCCTTCCTGAAAGGCCGGTAACGCGTCTGTGACTCCTGAGTTGCAAACGTTCACTTTCAATTAGGTGATCTGTCTGCTCGTCTGCCCCTTCTAACATTAAAAAAGGGTGTAGATATGTTTGATTCATCCTCTATACAGGTAAATCATGATAATGCGTATAATCAACTTGTGTCAATCTGATATACCTATCTATTATACATAAGTAAAAATTAAGAAGTGATTCATAAATTTTCACCCAGTTCAATTCAATTCCCACCCAGAACAAATAATTGTGTGAGCCAGGTCATTTGTACTGTGTCTGGGTGTACTTTATCTATTATATGTATGTATTTATAAATATATATGTATGTTTATCAGCAGTCTAGTTACCATAGTACGGGTCTGCCTAGTTTGGGATCAGACGGCCGTGTGTAAGATGTGTAAAAATATTATGATTATTTAACAGAAATTATTTTATCATCCCCCGAGCCTTTTCCCAAACTAAGTTGGGGTTTCAAGCCTACGAAACGGTTGAACTTCTATTCTTTACTTGGAGCGACTTCCATCAGACCTCCACAACCCAAGTACTTGACTGCACGGATGGCGTAGTGGTTTAAGTGGTCGCCACCCCGCTTCCTACTACGCCGAGTGTTGTGGGTTCAAACCCCACATGGGACAACACTTTGTGTGATTCACAAATTGTTGTTCTGAGTCTGGGTGTTCTTTGTGTCCGTTTCATGTATGTTTGTAAAGTCCCCCGCGACACAGGAATATATATTCCTAATGCGGGCGTTGTCCTTTAAAAAAAAAAAAAAGTACTAAGCGATATCGAAGTTCTGAAGATAGACTGTTGTCGAATTTTTAGGGCTCCCACTGCCCTTAACAATTGACACTGATATTCGTCTCGCAACCGGTCGTAACATGCTCTCCGAGGCACGACCGAGTCTCAATTTCTTAAGAGTCGTCACTCATCCATAGACTGACCTGGTTAGGATTGCTTCACTTTGTAACCTACTTCGTTACTTTACATACTTTCGTTCTTTTTATCATTAACACAAAGTTATGAAGATAAACTTTGCCCTTGATAGTATGTAAGTGGGACGCATAGTTATACAGATAATGAAAGATCAAATACCTAATTCAACTACAAAGTCACAAGTGCTTAGCTGCCCTTTGAGTCCCCCCCCCCATAAAAAGGGTTGGGGGCTGATTGAGCTCCGGTAACCTCGCTCATTCAGTGAAAAGCTACGAAAGAAGAACACCGGTTTTCTGTGAGGCTGTGGTGTTAATCCGGTCGAGCCTGCCTATTTATGCCAAAGCATGACTCTCCCACAGTTTTAATTTAATTGTTCGTTTAAGCCTTTATAACTTATATGCATATTAGAATTTTGTTTTTATTTATTTTTTTTATTTAAAGGTCTACTTGCAACCAAAACTAGTAGTATTCCCGTTAACCCCTCCCGCTAAGCTAAATTGCTTATGTTAGGAGTGGGTTCACGTCGGTTGTGTACTGGTCAGGATTTGAACCCACGACCTCTTGATCGCAACTCGAACGCCTTTACCACTAGGCTACCGCCGCTTTGTTTTTCTTGTAACTTGTAAATTGTAACTTGGGAGTTTTCAGTCAATTAAAGCATGGATGGACTCCATCTGTGACCACGATCGAAATTCTACATTAAAATACTTGAACTTTTTATATGATAAACAGTTAAATGTATTTTTATTTCAAACTACTCACTTATTTCTTAAAAAGGAGTTACATGAAACAAGAATCAAAATCCCGAATTACCCAGAAAATAATTAAAACCAGTATAAATTATTCAATCACGGTGTCAACTTTCAAGGTCCCACACAATGACACTGTGTCGGCACAATTACGACACTACCAGACTGAAACTATGGCTTCTAAGTAGCTTACCAACAATTAAGTGTGAAAGGAGATTATTTAAAAGCTAGCCATTATACGTTCTAATTAATTGGATTATACCTTTAATTAACTTGATTATTAATTTTACATTACACTTAAATTAAACAAAAAAAATATTTTATTTAATCACTAGCTGAGACCCGCGGTGTTACCCGGGTTTGTTGTTATAACCGCGGGCAACGCCGCGGGGCGAAGTTAGTCTAAAAGAGTAGCCTAAGTTACTCCTTATGTCATCAGCTATCTGCCAGTGAAAGTCCCGTCGAAATCGGTCCAGCCGTTTCAGTGATTACCCGGAACAAACAGACAGACAGATAGACAGACAGACCGACAGACAAAAATTGTAAAAAATGTTATTTTGGCATATGTACCGTGTAAACATACATATGCATTTAGTAAAAAGCGGTTATTTTAATATTACAAACAGACACTCCAATTTTATTTATTTGTATAGAGTACAGATATATTGATTGTGTTGTTGTGTTGATATCAACATTTTCTTTACTAACTCTAACCGTGGGAGAGCCATGCTTTAACCACGTAATACCACGGCCTCACACAAAACCGTTGTTAAGCAATTCTTTCGTTGAATTTCACTGAGTGAGTGAGGTGAGGTCCCGCTGACTCGAGCGGGAGGGACTCCAAGGGCAGCAAGTGACTTTTGAGTTGTAGGTGTCCATGGGCGGCGGTAGTTGATTCGATTCCGACCCAGGTCAAAGCACCATCATTTGTTCTGAACCTCATTAACAACTATTTATTTATGTTAAATGTGTTATTTTTTCATATGAACATTTTATTGTTAGTATTTAAATAATTAGAAAACAGCTTAAGGACTATGAAAAACTAAATAATTACTAATTTATTATAAATAAACATCGAAAAATTGCTTGGCTTAAGAAATAGAATATCTATAATAGAATTTCTGGGTGTCATTTATCTATGATGTTTACAAATATCTTATATATAAAATTCTCTTGTCACAATGTTCGTTCCCATACTTCTCCGAAACTGCTTGACCGATTCTCATGAAATTGTGTGTGTGCACATCGGGTAGGTCTGAGAATCGGCCAACATTTATTTTTAATACCCCTAAATGGTAAGGGTGACCCATCCCTAATTTTTTTTTGTTTTGCAATACAACGTTTGCCAGATCAGCTAGTATAAGTATGTTTATCAGCTGTCTAGTTACAATAGTACAGGCTCTGCCTAGTTTGGCTGTGTGTGAAATGTGTCAAGTTATTATTATTATAGGTTTCCTCCCTTCTGCTCCTGTGACCAAGCATGTCTTCACTCCAGAGTAGCCAATTCAGTGGTATTTGTTAAACTCTAACTCAAATATCTTAATTTCAATTTTCTTTTTAAGTCATAGATTTTACACACAATAGCAACAATCTCTGTTTTACCGTACCATTAATTTTATACCTTTTATACTGTTAATTTTATATAGTTTTTTTAATAATTTAATTTAATAATATCTCAAACATCACACACAGCCGTCTGATCAAGAACTAAGCAGAGCCTGTACTATATTAACCAGACTGCTGATAAACATACTTATATATTTTTAAATACATACATATCATAGATAAATTCCACCCAGACACTATATAAATCACACGATTTTTGTCCTGGGTGGGAATCAAACCCATGACCTTTGGCTTAGCAGTCGGGGTCACTAACCACTAGACCAACAGGCCCGTCAGTTAAATCATTTATACCGCTAATATTTTTATATCAAATAAATATTGAGTATTACATTTATTTTATAGATAACCCTTTAACATATGGACTAATTACATGCTTGCTTCATACAACTAAAAAAAAAACATTATTGCATTCTAAGTGTGTTTCATGCAAGCAATGCTGCTTGCATGAAACACACTTAGAATGCAATATATATATATATATATGCATAATTCATGCTTTTTTATGATAAAATGTTTTTTTCTTAATCAGTCAAATTTTTATTGAACTTATAGATATTTTTTTCTACTTTTTGGTTCGGCTAGTTACAAAAGTGTGTTTCTTTAGCAAATAAGTGGACAGAATTTAATAGGATAGATTTCATCATTATTGTCTCAAGAGAAATCACAAAAAAAAAACTAAATGAGACTTCTTCACATTTGAATAATAACCATACTCTTCAGAAACAGAAGTTGTAATTAAAGTTACATTAAGATTTATCCCTCTATAAAAGAATCATTTATTTTAAAAATAATGAATTGTTTGTTGGTTTGAATATTTTCATGGTAGAGGGGGCAGACGAGCAGACAGGTCATCTGATGGAAAGTGACCATCGCCGCCCATGAAAGTCTGCAACTCAGGAGTCACAAATGCATTGCCGGCCTTTTAGGAAAGAGTATGCTTTTTTCTTGAAGGTTTGAAGTACTTAGTCCCATATATAAATTTGAGTCTAAATATACATATGTACTCCTTGTGGTGGTAAATTAAGAATAAATTGTATCATCATCCCAATTCAATCTGTGAGTGTCCTAGGAGCCGACTAAGGGATCAAAATTCTGAAGGTTAACACCACTGCAATGAGAAAACTTGAAACGAACCCTATACCAACCTGTCTTGCCTGTGTGGTTTATTATGCCAAAACTTGCATGGATGGCATAGTGACTTAAGCAGTCGCCACGCTGCTTCCTACTACTGTGTTGTGGGTTCAATTCCCAAGGATGACAGTTTCTGTGATCTACAAATTGTTGTTCTAAGCCCTGGTGTTCTTTGTGTCCCTTTCATATTTATGTTTGTAAAGTCCCGACATAGGATATATTTCTAGTGCGGAGTTGTCTTTAAAATAATTTAATTAGATTCACACGTTTCTAAATATATCAAAATAAGTCAAAAGAAAATAAGCCCCATAGTAATACTAGATTAGTTAGAAAGTGTGTAGAAACTAATTAGAAAACCATTAAGTTAAATTAAAATATGTAAGGTTTATGTGTACCTTATCGTGGTACAATAAAGTACACAGTAAACAGTACACGTGTTACGCCAGTAACTAAACGTATAGTAAGCACTAACTTTTGTATGTAGCCATTCATACACTAACAACAACTAAAGCCACGCCCACAAAAAACAGTTACTAACAGAAATTATAACTTACATTTATAAAGATTTAAATGGAACTAGACAGAAATCATTATTTTATCATCTAAAGGTCAATAAGTATTACAGAGTTCATACTTACACCACCGTTCTGGCGTACGTCCCAGTATAGCTCCTGTATCTTGATCGTGGAACAGATTTTGCCTCGCTGACCTATGTGAACTTTTAGTATCCATCTGGAATTCCTGTAACCTAGGATTTCTAATCATATTGCTTATATGATAGTCACTTTCTCTGATAAAAACATAAAAGTTGTCTGATTATAAACACAACACACACGCCCAGCGGCTACCGCAAATTTGAAATAACTAGAGTTGTCAGTTGCCCATGATGATAAAGCACAGTAGTCAGTAATATACTTTATATACTTAGTAAGATGTAGGTAGGTATCTAGCTGTCTAACATTTTAGTAATTTTTTATGGGTTGTCTTAGAGTGCATTTTCACTAAAGTGGAGTATAGTGAAGCAGAGCGGAGTAAATAGGAGTGAAGACGTTTGTAAACGATTTTGGAGAGCAGATCAGTTAAAGTCAATATCTCGACGAGGCCGTATGTCATGTTGTCGTTAAAAAATTGAGCTATCAAGGGGACATCTGGCAGATATGAAACTCCGATAAAACACACACACAAATAATAATAAAATATTCAGAATGACAAACTTTCATAAACTATCACATTTGGTCAATGTGCATATATTTCTGTATTTTATGAATGTATTGTTGTGTAGTGTGTGTTTTAGTTGATTAGTAATGTATCCTATTTGTGCCTGTCTCACACGATTTCTGCACCACCTAAAGGTTGACTGGAAGAGAAATCCATAGGCATTAAGTCCGCCGATGTACAAAAGTGCATTAAATTATGGAAATAAATAATGTGGCATCGCATGTTGTTGCAAGGCCAACAGCCAATATTTGATTCGCAGAGGTGATTTCGAATATTGTGACTGGTCAGTTAATGTGCCGCTAAGCCTCTGTCCACTGCACTCTACTACAGTGGAATCGCAGCCTTAAGAAGTGCTCATAATGTCTATATTTTTTATAGCATATATTTATTTACAAAACAGTTGCAATCATTCTCGAAATTCGAGTTCCAGTAGTAGCGTTGAAAGGTTAATACAGAAAGAAATAAGAAGACATTTCTGTCAATTCGAAGATAAAGTAGTAGATTGACCTTTAACGTTGTTTTAAAGTTCTTCGTCTTTGGATATTTAATAGAGAACGTTTTCATCATCATCGACTAAAAGAATTTTGATGGCTTTAATCTTTGTCTATGACTACATCTAAGAAGTGATTTATCACAGGTGTAATCATAGTAACTTAGACCAAACATATCATCAAATGAATATGATTTAAAAGTAGCAATAATTCTATTAGTGATGCGCAAAATGTATCACTTAGCTGAAAAGATAGATATATATCATTTTGCTCTAAAGATATATCACTCACTAGCTCAGTGATCCAATTTAATTGATAAGTCTCTCAATTGAATCATTTCTTCGTCTCGAGCGTTTAGCTCAGTATGTATATATCACTTCACTATCACAATTCTTACCTTACTCGCTCATTTCTGCTTCTCTTCATTCTCATATTCAAACTAAATTCAGTTCTTGGAACTTCATTTTGATCATTTTTTTTAAATACGGTTTATGTACGGCTATGTATTTTTTAAATACGGGTTGTGTCGATGTTGGGTTTGTTAGGTAGGTAGGTTTGACGCTATTTAACAGTAACGATAATAAGTTAATAATAAAATAATTACCAGATTTACTGTGATTTTGTCCATGCCTACTACTAATTAGTTTCAATCTGTCATAACTGTCACATCGAGTGTTCTGTCTGTCACATTAGAATATAAAGAGTGTATTTTGCATTTCTTATAAGCTAATAATTATTTAATTTATTATAAAATACGTTGGACTTATTTGCAATAACAAAATGGGTTCTTCAGTTTACAAAGCAATTGTTATTGTTGGATTTATATCACTATTCCACTCTGCGTTCTCTGCGGCTCAACGTGAGTTTTTAACAACTTTGTTTTCACAGAATTATCTCAAAAATATTAGTTTCATAATATTATATTAATGTATTGTTTTATTTTAAATTGCAGATCGATCGTATCTGCGTATCACTTCTCAAGAATTCACCACATTGCCTTTAGATGTAAGTAAATAAAAAAAAAAAAACACGATTCAAGTTTTACTTTTTGCTGATTCATTTTATACTTCTATTACTCGTAATAGTATCTTATATTAGAATCCGCAGGAAGATTATAGATTATAGTTCCAGGTTTTATACAGCGTTAGTTTCAGCCTTTATATTTTTAGGGTTTATTAAATCTAGTCTTCAATTAGAACAGTATTTACCGCTGACACCAATTAGCAGCCTCATTCAAAATTTCGGCTGCAGCTTAAGATAATTTTATCTAGGGAGACTAATTAATGATTTATGTTTTCATTAATTATATTAGTTTTTGCCTAAGTTATTTTCACTTTATAGAAAAAAGTAGTAAGTATTTATTTTTTTCTAATGAAATATATAGAGCAACGGAATTTCTGTTGTACATTATTTTTAACATTTTTAATGAGCTTCATTTGGAACTAAGTACACTACATGTAAATAAATCTTGAAAATCAATTTTAATTTGACTGCCTTTTTGGTGCAGTGGTAGAGTATGTGACTGCTGTGCTGAGGTCTCGGGTTCGATACCCGGTTTAGACCAAATGTTTGCATGATCTGCAAATATTTGTTTCAGATTTTGGGTGTTTTCTATGTATAATATGTATGTATTTACAAAAAAAAAGTATATAAGTATTCTATCAGTCACTCTAGCTCTGCTTAGTTTGAAACTAGATGGCGTTGTTGTCAGATGTCCTAAATATTATTATTATTATACTTTTAATTTGTTATATCAAACTGAAACTTTGTAAGTATGTGTAAAATTATAAATACAGTAAATTTTGTTTGATTAAAAACAGAAGGTAACAATTTAAAAAAAGTGAAATTATGCCTTCACCCAAAGTGTAACACAAGTGATATGCTGGTACTAAATCCTCTACCTTCTCAAATCATCATAGCAGTATTCAAAGAGATTAAAAGACCGGATTTTACAAATAAAAAAAAACTGTTTTAATTTTAAAAATCATTTCCTTTTCAGATCATAGTTCAGGCAATAGCAAGCCTGTTTGCAGTAATGTGGGGTGTGTTGAATGTAGCCGGTAATCTCAGAGAAATACATGCAGCTGCAGAACTAAACACCGTGAAGTGGGAAACTCAGAAGAATCTACCATCCTTCTACATCTTTAACCATAGAGGGAAAGCTTTAGCAAGTAATTATGTACCAAGTAGTGCTGTCAAATCTGATTTAGAAAATTTAGAATAAGTTTGATGTTTATTTATTTATTTATGTTTAAATACATAGACTATACAAATGTTTTTTGTTTTCATTACTTTTTAATATTTTTAAGAGAGCAAGAGTTATAAACAGTTGGAATTAGGGATGAATTATAAATACATTGATGATATAAGCTTGTGCAATATTACTGTAATTTAAGTACGTGGTAATAAATTTAATGTTATTACTAACATTTTATTTTTTATTATACTCTCCAGTTAATAACTCTGCTAAACATAAACAATGTGAGGTAATAATAATCTCGTAGGACCATCTGATTCCAAACTATACAGAGCTTGTGCTACGGTAACCATTCTGCTGATAAACATACTTATATATTTCTAAACAGATAAATACACACATCAAAAAAAGTCTAAGCAACATGCATCATTTACAGAAACTGTTAAACATGTTATTTTATTTTTTACACACAGGAGGGGTCATCTACCCGCCGTAGATGCCCGAGGTACGTAGGGGTACCAGGGATTTCCTTTCTAGGGTACACCTGGTTCCTCGGCTACCGGTACCCGAGACGGCGTGCGGTTTTTAGTCGGTTCGAGTCCGACATAGCCACCGGTAGGTAGTATTCGTGGGGATTTCCGCACAGAAAAAAAAGGTATTTTTTCTTATGGTATACAATCTTTTTCGTCCTCGGAAAAATATGGTGGCTGATTTTAAAAATAGAAACTTTTCGATTGTGTTTTCATTTGTGTCACGCTATTTGACTGCCGATGAAATTCAGAGAGCTGTAGAAAAGTTACAAGCGCAAATCAGTCCCAGGGGTCCCAGGTATCTCGTCGTTTCGTTGTCATTTTTGCAGCGTTATGTTAATACCGGGAATCCTGCTGTGCTCGACAGGACCGATATATACAATTGACTGCAAGTCGTCAGCCGATGTTAACCGCCCGCGCCCGGGAGATAGGTTTAAAGCTACAATTCTGAAGCGGTGTTCCTGCCACCAATAGGCTTCATAAATACGGGCTACGAACACGACGCCCAATTATGTACCCACCTATACGCCATGGGAATCGCGCTCGTCGAAACGAATGGTGTAGGGAACACTTGACATGGACTAAGGAGCAACGGGATAAAATTTTATTTTGCGATGAGTCTCGGTTTGGATTTAGGCCTGATACTAGAAGGGTAAGAGTGTTTCGTCGTCCTGGAAATGCTGAACGGCTGAGATGCGTCCAGGAAGTACACCCTTGCCCCACCAACCCAACAACTGAAAGATTTCTTAAAATTCCATTGGGAGTGATTGCTGCAGGATCAGATAAATCAATGAAAAATCTTTGCCGACAAGTTTTAAAAAACAGAGGCGGTCATTGTACTTTGTATTGAATTACCAAATAACTTAAAAAAAATGACGAAAAAATGTCGTTATTTAATTTTGTAACACATGAAAACTTTAATTTCGTTTTAACTTTGTTTTATACTTACTACATATGTAACGATACACATATTAAATGATTGTGTTTAAATTAACAACTGAATAAAGGATTTTGTTCAATTAGTCAATAATGTATTAAAGAATGCTTAATTTTTTTTAAAGTATATAAATATTACAATATATATATATTAAAATAGTAAAAATCGTTCAAAACCGTACATGTTGCCCAGACTTTTTTGATATGTGTATTGTAGATAAATTACACCTCGACTCAGAGCTAATAATTGTACTCATCACACAATTATTTGTTCTCGAGTAGGAATGAACCCATAACCTCTGGTTCAGCAGTCAGGGTCACTAACCACTAGACCAATCATCATAGAGTGCCATCCTCAAAATGAAGCTTGGAGGTCAGCAGACGGTACACCTCTCGATCATGAGCGGCCTCCTTTAGTCCGGTCCAGGCCACGATATCATCTATCCACTTCCTTCGTGGTCGACCTGGTGTCCTCCTGCTAGACCAATAGGCCAGCCAAAATATAATCATATAATAAAGGTGAGATTGATTAATTTGCATTGCTGCACAATTTATTAAAGTTGGAGAAGGAGAGTTGGAGAACATTATATCAATTTTGCAGATGATTACAAAGAACAGCTAGCAAAATACACAGCATACCCTTTAGTCACATAAAGTCCACTGAATCAAAATGACCACTTCATAATGTCTATTTATCAAAATATCCATTTTACCAAATGGTCAATCTATTAAACACAGTACTTTGTCACAATGTCCATCATCATCATCATCACCTCAGCCTATGCTTGTCCACTGCTGGACATAGGCCTCTCCCAATGATTTCAAAATGTCCACTATAATATACTATAATATCAAAACTCTTTTTAAGGTGGACATTAAGGTATGTGGACCTTCTGATAGTGTGGACTTGATATGATGATGATGATGATATGCGGAGATTATGATATTGTGGACTTTACAAGAATGAATTACTTAAAATTTTTTAATATTATATGGTAAGCCTATTACTGTCAGCTGGGAACTTTTTTGATTCAATGTGACATAACAGAAGAATAACTAAGCAAAGAAAATCGACCCATAAAAGTTTTCGACTCTCATCCTTGTCAGAGGTGGTCTTGTTTATGGAACTCTACTCGATGTGACACTTTCTTTGCAATTATCATTCCTGTGCAACTGCCTGCTTGATGACCAAAAAAGAATATCTTTATACCCATTTGATGACACAGCTTGTTGCTATTGTGTGTTAAGAGTCTACATTAGACAATTTCAAATAATCGTAAAATATTTTTTATGAAATAATCGTATTTTGAATTTGGTCAATCTGAACTTTATAAAGATGTTCTAACACACAATCTAGTTTTGTGATTCACCTAGGTGTTTCATAGATACTATTTTGTACACATGGTCTACCCAGGTCTTCTATAGTTAATCCAATGTACCTATGAATCATTCTTCCTTAAATTGGTTGACTTCTCGGGTAAATCATGCACACAGTGTTGAATTGAATGAAGTAGGTATGTATTTGATGAAAGAACAGTAAAAATAAAATAACTTATGTATTCATTAAATCTTTTAATTATGAGGCATTGGTACAAAATATATTCTGTACATTTTATATCTATATACGGAAGCAATGTATCTCATTAACTGAAGAAAGTCTGCATAACCATACCATTATGTTAAATATTGTATAATTGCATATCTCTAATCAACCTTTTACATCCTCAACACTTTATTCAACCAATCTCCTAGTTATAGACCTAGCTTCTCTATCTATCTTAAACTTAATCTAAACCTTACATGTTATACGTGGAGTCAACCGTAAACAACGAAGGGGCAACACAGTCTCTCAACTCTTGATGCACTTAAGCATTGTCTTTACATCATAAGCAGACTATCGACCACCACGTCCACCTCTGAAACCTCCACCGCCTCTGTTGAAGCCTCCGCCGCCTCCACCGCGACCGAAACCTCCTCGGCCACCGCCTCCCCGGTTGAATCCTCCGCCTCCTCTATTAAAGCCACCTCCGCCGCCACGTCCAAATCCACCACCTCTGCCACCTCTTCCACCACCTCCTCTCCCACCTCCACGTCCGCCAACGCCTCTTCTTCCAGATCCGGGTGGCTGAGGCAAGAATCTCTTGAGAGGCAACAACTTCGCGGGGTCAATGAAGAACTGTTGGCCTTCCTTAAAACTGTTTGCTTTGAAATTGTCCCCCATTTTCACAGATACGAAGTAGTCTCTTAAATTTCCAAATATTTCATCGATCTTACCGATCTGTTCCTTGTTTTCAAGGAAAATAGGCGCGTTAAAATATGGCACATCTTCGATGTCCACTTTGCATATTAAATCGTCTTGTACGGTCCAGCCGTAGTGTCCTAGAGGGATGACAGACTCTGGTGGGCCTTGATCTTGTTGCCGATAGCCTCCACCGCCACCGCCACCTCGTCCACGACCACCTCCGCCGCGGCCACCGAACCCGCCTCGACCTCCGCCGCCTCCCCGTCCTCCAAAACCACGTCCTCCTCCTCCACCGCCGCCGCCACCATATCCACCTCGACCGCCGCCACCTCCTCTTCCACGAAACGACATATTTAACTCAAAACTTTCAAATAAAATGTGATAAATATAACCTCAAAATTTACTGGTGGTGTTATCACCATGCACGCTAGGTTGACATTGACAGCTATAGGGTAGCGTCAGCGTCGCAATTCGCAATATGTTTTTGGGATACCAACTAAAAAGAACACTAATAGAACAACTTCCAAATGTTATGTCGTCGTGTAGTAGGTAATGTAGGTAGGTACTTTCTTTTGATTTTCTATGAACTAATTAAACGAAACATGACGTCAGGTGACCAAAAATTGTCCACAATGAAGCGTTATAGGCGAGTTTTCAACCGCTTAAAACGATTTATTTGGGGTTTAAAAGGCAACATTTTATTTAAAACGTTTTTAAATCGATTGTTTTACATCTATACACACGACAGAGAGATGTGGATGGAATAGAGGGAGGCCTTCACCCTGCAGTCGGAATATACAGGCTAAAATAAAATAAAAGCTAACGCAATTTTGATGAGTTACACCATTTATAACTTAAATAGGATGGACTAATCTTTATAATCTTTCGGCTCTTGCTATCTCTGTTTATCACACGAAATGTAGGCATAAGAGAATCGAATAATGTTCATCTTAAATTGTCCAAATTAAACAAAATCCAGCTATAGTATTCTATTTTTTATCTGCGAACACTCAACTTACCAACCAGTATTTATTTTTAATTTAATTTTAAACTAACAGTCTACCCTAAAGGTGGTTTTACACCGACGAGACGAGGCGTGGATGAGATGACGCTTACCTTTTTACACCGAAAGATGTCTTGCGCTGCCTCGCGCCGTCAATCGTTGCTTTGCACCGGCATTCACTGCCTCAAGCCAGCCATCCGTGTTTGGCATACCACTTACAATTTATGGAGAGACTCATTTCTATTTCGTTCGTTTTAATGTAAATTTTAAGTATTGGTATTATTCTTTTTCTTCGTATTAATGGTAACACCGCATTATACATACACCAATTTTTCGTGTTGTACATTATATACTTACCTAGTTATAAAAAATATCTTAGAATGTGGTTTATTAAAAACAGCCGTGACATCCAAAGCTTTGGTTGTTATTCGTCCCTATATTAAGTGACCAACTCGAATCAGATTTGTTTAGCAAAAAATAAAACTAACAAAAACATGTAAGTAGCACTGGGCCCCTAAGTATAGTATACAGCGATATCTCGCGATGGTCAGAGCAAGCCTGCCATCGCGAGTCAGTGTTTGGCGGAGAGAAACCTCTATTATTAGAGTGATAAAGTTCAATATTGTTTTAATGAATATTTCAATTCTTGCCTTACACATCTTTTGCGAATCTAACCTTTGACACGAAAGGTGGACAAGGCGGGAAAAAAAAATTTGACATGCAAATTTCATTCCAAGCCAATCCCATCCAGGCCTCGCCTCGCCGATGTGAAACCACCTGAATAGTCTATGGTTGACATGGTTTTTGTCTTTCTTCACTTCACAACCTGACAACTCTGACAAGACAATCTGACAGTGTTAAGTTGTTGTCGATTTTAAATTTTGGCTAGGATTATAGATTTACCGTTTTTCAACATTTTAATTGTTACTGAGTGTAGATTACTAAAATGCTGTCGTGGTGATTGTTTGTTTCGTTATTATTTTAGTGTTTTGTACTTTAAGTACCAGCTTAATAAGTTTAAAGTGTTAAATGTGCAATGGCGACTTTGGAAGATGAAATAAAAGACTTGAAAGAGAAAAATAATGAGTTGGCGCAAAAAGTGCAGTATTGGAAAATGACCGCAGCGGAAAGGGAGAATGAGAAATTAAATCTAATGAAGGAACTGAACGAGTTAAGATTAAAATTGAGCGTAAGTATCAAATTTCGTATTTGTTGCCATTGCTTGTGAAGAAATTAGCTGTTATTCAATATTGTGTGTGTGTTATTTTTCTGTTATTTACTTTTGGTTTTCATCAATATTATGACCAGCTGGACAGTTCAACATTTATTCAAAACATTAAAAATCTGACACTTAAAAAAATAAGTGAAAAAAATCTTCATAATACACCTACACCCTAGTATTTTCATTTATTCATGGTAGAAGAATAATAAATATATTCTTCTCATGTCCCTGTGTATTACCATCTTCTTCTGTTTTAATAAAATGTTTAGTTAGTTTGTGAATGCTTCAAAACCTCAGAAAGTTCTGTACTGATTTAGTTCAAACTTTGACAAAACTTACAACACGCTTCAAAGATAGTTTTTATCTATTTTTTCCAACCACAATTTACTACAGCAAAGTGTGGCAGGGTATAGCTAATGCTGTATATTATTAATATATATGGGAAAATTAATACTTTTTTATGGAAGACGGGGCAAACGAGCAGACGTGTCACCTGATGGAATGTGACCGCCTGTAACACATAATTGTTGGGTCCTTTGGCAAACCAATCCGGCTGGCACAAAACCATCAGGAGGGGCATGATAGATAGATGATATCTATCTATCTACCTAAGCAGCCTGTTACATCCATTGCTAGGTATAGACCTCTTTTCTATCATGTCACTCCTGGTAAACCACTTCTGGCTCGTCAGGCTCTCTAGTCACTAGATCCGCAGCCCAGTCAGATAGTAACCACCAAGAAACTAGATACACATGTTAATTGAATATTGTATTCTTGCAGAGGCTCAGAAATACAGGTGGATATAAAGCAAAAAAGCTGGATACGTCCATTCAGCAAGCAGGTGAAAAAGCCATCTCTTACCTGGTGGAAGCATCCTCTGAAATTGCAAGAAGCATAGAGATAGCTAAAGCGTATATGAGAGACAGGCAGGAACTGGAAGCACAATCTCCCAGATGGAGTACATTAGGAGGTACACCGACTGCGGAACGGACCGATAAGGTTCATAGGGTGCCCCCAATGATGATGGGTGGGCAGTCCATACAGCCCGTGGTAGCTCTTAGCAGGACTATGTTAAATACCAGTAGTACTAGTAAGTTATTAATGTGTTTATGATATTCTCACTTTTAAAGATTATAAAAGTCCAGTCCAAAGTTAGACTAAAAAAACTGGACTTTTAATGAAAAACTGAATGTGGCTATTCTAGGCATCTTATTAGTGTGGAGGAGGCATTGAGGCTCAGTATTGTATCTAAGAATAGAATAGAATAGATTTAAATTTACATGTCAATATTGGTGAAATGTGTTAAAAATAATCTTTAAAGCAGAAGCTTTAAAGATTAATTTTAACTATTTTTCGCGTCAGTTTTGTTCCACATTTCTCATGAATAATATTCCAAAGTGGCACAGCAGAGTGAAAAAATTTAAAAATTGAGATGCTAGAAAGGGAGGGCTGATATTTTTAACTAAACGTAAATAATCATTTTTATAAATGTTTACATTATACACATGCCAATCAAAGTACAATAAAATAATTAATGTCAAATGGTCTAACAACAACCGTGTGGTGACGGATTAAGAATACGGAATGTCACCACCCCTATCCATCCTGTGGGTGTCGTAAAGAGTCGATAAGGGAACAAACTGCACAGGACAACAGCACTGCAAAAAGAAGGAAAACTTGAAACACACCTAATACCAACCCGTCTGACCAGCGTGGTATAGTAGGCCAAAACCTGCTTTCTAAGGAGAGGCCTATGTCCAGCAGTGGACTGTTATAGGCTGTTGATGATGATGATGATGAATATAAAATAACCATTATAGCTCAGCACTATTCTTACTACTACTAGATACTACTATATAATTTTTTCTTTATCTAAATGAAAAGGGAAGTGAAACAATACAATTGTTTACACTAATGTATTATTAGTGTAAGAACTTTTTTATTCCTATTATTATGGATTATGGATATATTATCTGGATGTCTAGTGTGGAGTTTGTAGTGTATGTTTTACTATTATTGTGTACATTAAATTTATAAAGTACATTATGTCACAATTAAAAAAGCTCCTCATTAAAAAATGTTATTATAATGTATTGGACTTTATCTCTAACAATTTGTAGTGTTTTATTTTTATTTTTTGTAATTATTGTTTTTTCTTCCTGTCATTAATTTATTATTTTGACTATAGTTTGACTTTGAATGTTGACATTGTATGTATCACAATCTTATTATAGTAATCAATGATGCTAATAATATACGTATAGGTTATTTTAAGTTATGTTTAAATTATATGCAATTATAAATGTACAAATTGAAAATACCCATAGTGGTAAAGCACAGTGAACCTGTTGTGAATGAATTCCATGTAATTAATACCTGTGTTATGCAAATAAACAATCTGAATCTGAATCTATTTTTGATGCAAAAGGGATTCAAACAAATCAATTTGTATGGCTGTCCGTGAAACTGAGTGTAAATTGATTTTAATTCTAATTCAAACACACATTTTGTATAAACACACATTTTTTCTAGAATTAAATTAAAGAATTTGTTACAGGCACAACAACAAGGAGTCCAAATCAAATTCAAAATCGTAGCTTGACTGAAAGAGCCGTACCCATGCATATGTTGCAAGGTAAATTACTCTTCTTTCCATAATATAGTATTTTTGACATGTAAAATATAGTTTATTATTATGTTTGTAGTATTGTCCCTTGAATCTTTTAAGAAATAACAACAAGAAGAAAACAGTGAGTAAATTTTTCACCTTACGCCCATGAGACGGTAGTCAAAACGCCACGCCACATATTTTTACTAAGGGCTTATAGAGTTAAGATCTTGGCTTGGCTCGTCTTGGCGGAGCACCGTGCTCCCGGATATAGAATTGTCCTTTCAGTAATCTCTCCGAAAGTATAGGATGTACCCGAAATTCTCTATTTCTTCTCTTTTTCTGTCCTTTAAGTATATAATTAAATTAAAAATTTAAAAAACCTCCGGCACACATCTTAGCTGTGAAGTTTGTCAGTGTATAGTATTCTACTATTCAAGCCCTTTCATTTGATACCCATATTGAGGGAGTTGTGAAAAACTATGTAGTCCGATATTTTGTGGCGGCGGCCATCTTGGTCCGATTTTTATCGAACATAGCTAAGAACATTAAAATCCGTTTATCCGTTCGGGAGCTATGATGCCACAGACAGACACACACTCAGACACGTCAAACTTATAACACCCCGTCGTACATACTAAGATTATAAAGTGTGTCTGTTTGTCAGTTGCTCTCTCACGTTTTAACCGCGGAACCGATTTAGATGTTGGTATCTCTACTTCTCTACTTTGAGTCCGGGAAAGGACCTAGTATAGTTATGATTCCAGAAATCATCCTTTAAGGGGGTGAAAAGGGGGATGGTCGTTTGTATAGGTAATCAATAACCGCTAAACCGATTTAGGTGATCTTTCATATAAAGGTAGTTTGATTCAGTTCTGGTTTGGACATAGGCTACTTTTTAACCGACATACAAGCAGACGGAGCCGCGGGCAGAAGCTAGTAAAAAATATGGCCATTTAAGCCTTATTTTTCGTTTTTTTTTTATAATTAAAGATACGTACTTGTCTTATTATTAAACTAGAACCGTATTCCATATTATCTTCTGTTTTAGATGTCTACATTCCACTGACTAGGATAGACATATCAGATATACATAACAATAATATGGAGACGGATACGGAAGTGGAGGCCAACAATGCTGATGACAGTGCTGAAGAATTGGGACTGGACGGTAAGATTTTACATAATTTATCCACACATACACAATTGATTATGGATTTTCCATAAAATCCATACATAAAATTTAACAGTGGTTTACATAGTGGCAAAATAATGTTTCATTACATAGGGGAATTCTCACCGTCGTGATACTACGGCTTCACAGAAAATATGTTAAGCATTTCTTTTTAAAAATATATAAGAATATTTATCAGCAGTCTGGTTACCATAGGCACAAGCTCTGCTTGCAGAAGGAGGCGGCGGAGTCGGCCCGGGAGGACAGCCTCCACTCGGACCCAATCCGTCGCCGGCGGACCGGGCGCCTAAATAGAGAATGTACCTGAAGGTGGTGCCCGCATCGTTGCGGGCAGGCGCTAGGAGGGGTCCGGAGGTCCTAATAACAGCAGTTCCCGGATCCCTCCTATTACAGGCGCAGAGTGGCACACCGTGTGGTTTTAGTCGGTCCGATTCCGACACACCACCCCGCTTAAACCCTGGTGGGATGACGGCCCGAGGGGGTTTCCACACGTTAAAAAAAAAAAGGCACAGGCTCTGCTTAGTTTGGGATCAGACGGCCGTGTTAGAGATGAGTAAGATATTATATTATTACTAGCTGACCCGGCAAACGTTGTTTTGCCATATACATTATTTCTAGGAAATATTGAAAAAAATTATTTAGGGGGGGGTCACCCTTGTCATTTAGGGATATGAAAAATAGATGTTGGCCGATTCTCAGACCTACCCGATGTGCACACAAAATTTCATAAAAATCAGTCCAGTCAGCCGTTTCGGAGGAATATGGTAACTAAGATTGTGACACGAGAATTTTATATATAAGATTATTGCAGTTGATTTATCCTTAGTCTTTAAGGATAATACATAAACACGTGTTTCTTTATATTTTTTACCAGATGGCGAGGAGGCGATGGACGATTCAGCTCGTATGTCGGAAGACGATAATGAATTTTCAGGGTAAGTATTTATTAAAGATATAGTGATCTCTTAGATTATTATCAATGAAGAGATTCTTGTTTCTTCAAAGAGATCTTTTAAACTAAGCAAAGGATTTTAATGCGGTTTTCATCATCAGAGAGAGTGATTCAAGAGGAAGGTTTATATGTATAACCAGCTGAGACCCGCGGTGTTACCCGCGTTTGATGTTATAACCGCGGGAAACGCCGCGGGGCGAAGCTAGTCTAAAAAAAGTAGCCTAAGTTACTCCTTATGTCATCAGCTATCTTCCAGTAAAAGTCTCGTCGATATCGGTCCAGCCGTTCCAGAGATTACCCGGAACAAACAGACAGACAGACAGACCGACATACAGACAGACAAAAATTGTAAAAAATGTTATTTTGGCATATGTACCGTGTAAACATACATATGCATTTAGTAAAAAGCGGTTATTTTAATATTACAAACAGACACTCCAATTTTATTTATTTGTATAGATGTGGTGTCAGTGTCAAGTGAATTATTACGCATTTAGAAACCCGTGGGTGTCGTAAGAGCCGACTAAGAGAACAAACTGCACAGGACAACAGCACTGCAAAAAGAAGGAAAACTTGAAACAAACCCTATACCAACCCGTCTGGCCAGCGTGGTATAGTAGGCCAAAACCTCCTTTCTAAGGAAATGTCTAGCAGTGGACTAGTAAAGGCTGTTGATGATTGATGATGATGATTAGTCATGATTGTGTTTATGTTTATTTGCAGTCGCAAACTTCATGCTCTAAGTGAAGAGGAGGAGAGTGAAACGGAGGATGGGAATACACCTAGGTAATGTTTTTAGATAATAATAATAATAATATATCTCACACACTCATACACTCACACACGGCCGTCTGATCCCAAACTAGGCAGAGCCTGTACTATGGTAACCAGACTGCTGATAAACATACTTATATATTTCTAAATACATACATATTATAGATAAATTACACCCAGACACAGAACAAATGACCGTGCTCATCACACAATATTTGTCCTGGGTGGGAATCGAACCCACGACCTCCATTTTAGCAGTCAGGGTCACTAACCACTAGACCAACAGGCTGGTCAGATGATTATTTTATGTTTAAATATATAATCCTACCTTCCTTTTTTCCTAAACTAGTTTGGGGACAGTTTTAAGCGGCTAAACTTCGATTTTTAACGCGGAGCGACTACCATCAGAACCAAGTACTAGGCGATATCGAAGTTATGTAGACAGACTATTTTTAGGACTCCCAACTACCCGTAACGATTGCCACAGATGTTGGTTCATATGGCAATCGACGCTAAATGTGCTCTCCGAGGCAATGTTTTAATAACGGTCACCCATCCATAAACTGACCTGGCTAAGCTTGCTTAACTTTGCAATGTGCTAATCTACTTGGTTACCTCTTAGCCACAAATTCAAATACTTCATCATGTGAAATTAATTTATTTTCAAATTAATTTAATTTTAGGGTCACCGTGCGCATAGATAATCCACTGGAGGGGCCCAGCTGGTTGTTAGATTCGCCACAAGAAAGGGTATGTACAATTGGGGTAGAAATTTAAAAACCGTCGATTTCAATATTTTAAATTTCCATATACTGTTGTCAGACCACGGGGCATGTCAAAGAACAAGGGTAGTTGACCCTTTATTCTTCTTTTAATTCAATGGCTCCATCGGATATCGATAGTTTTGCCAACGTCAGGGTATTGGGATTTATTAGTAAATAGGTTTAAAATATTTGGAATACCAAGAGGGAATTGTTGTGATTTTAACAGTTTCTGTTTGTGGTTAAATATGAATTTTTTGCCGAAATGCGACCAGTACACATCAATTTTATAAGATATGACATAAAAATGAGCCGGTAATTTATTACACATAAATTATTTTATTTCCAGTCGAGCAATCAAAGTGGTCGCGCGACCTTAGAGCCGGATTCGACGACGGAGCCAGATAGAACACCCGCCACATCCACATCGCAGAAGAGCGAAGATAATGTACAGGTATATTGTAATAATAAAAAAATAAAAAAATATATTTTATATGAGTGTGGTTTGTGTTTTAAAGAAATAAACTGGTGGCATCACAAATACTAACAAAATAACAAACTAAAAATCTCGGGCGCCAGATACCACCTCAAAAGAACACAGAACCAACCAAAAACACAATAAATGCCTCGGACAACTCGGTCAGCGCTGGACCTTTAATCTAGGACGGGGGGCAGCTAATAAATACAAAGATGTTAAGTTCTAGTGGCAGTTTATTATCCCGTAGTGTCTGTAGAGTACAACGTATCTTAGGACTCTAATTACAATAGGTAATTCTTATACTCAAAATAGTACTGTCATTAATGCAATCCTTTTCAAATAATAAAAAAAAAACAATATAAAATTAAATATGTTTTAAGAGTCACATAAAAACTCAATAAGAAGTGAATCTAAGGGTAGTTGTGGCATCGACCTACTCTCTAATAAATGAATAAAAATAACACCCCTTGGGGACCTGCAGTATCCAACGCCACAACGCCAGATCAAAATAATAAAAGAAACATACCAAATGACATTGGTTCAGTCCGAATGGAAAGAATTCAAACCAAATCTAAAACATCTCACTCCGGTCCCACGTGGTGGAAGAGGCGGGTTAGCATTCCCAGGCTTCCGACAATGGCATGCAGCTAAGCAGCTTTTTCTACCATTATAGGTGCTCCACAGCAACTAAATTCCTGGGGTCAGGCCGGCGGAGAGACAAAATCCGAATGCCACGCAATGACATTCCAATCCAATAAGAATTTAAGGTATAAATAGAAAATTTAGATTTAAACAAAAGATTTAGAATTAAGCTAAAGAAAAGAAAAGACCCTGATTCATCAGGGTCCCAAAATGTTTCACAAAACAAGCAGCGGCATTATAAATATACCCTTTTAACGAAAATAACAACTCGATCAATACAATTTGAGTCTTTAACGAGGTTGGCCAAATAATAAAAATAAGAAATAAGTCCTCGTTACAACAAAAAGACTACATTTTAAAAATCTAAACTTCTTCGACTCGGACCAAAACTAATGTGTCGACATAAATGCCTTTTAACAATGACGCGTCCAAATGTTGCCAGATCAAGAAAAACTAAATCGATAACTACCATAGACGATCAGCATCGACTCTCGGCACTCGCTGAAACGTCATAAAATTCAACTAAAAAACCAAAAACACGTCTATGATTCAATTTACTATTTACTGTGTACTGCACCAATGAAGAATGTTTCAAAAAACGGAGAAAAATTATTACTATTGAGAGACGCAGACGAAGTTGCGCGGGTCAGCTAGTATAATATATACACTACACTGCCTTCTTATGTTGTATACACCCAATAAGAAAGGATTTTTGGCTATTTCACCCCTAAGGGGTTAAATTAAGGGATGTATGGTTGTACGAAAGTTCCTCATTTCCAAAGTTAAAATCACGCAATTTCTAGTTTCTTGTACAGGTGGATTGGGGAATGTAATGTTAAGCTGAGGGCCTCGTAAGTGTCCATGTGGTGACGGATTAAGAATACGGAGTGTCACCACCCTTATTCATCCCGTGGGTGTCGTAAGAGCCGACTAAGGGAACAAACTACGTAGGACAACAGCACTGCGAAAAGAAAGAAAACTTGACACAAACTTAATACCAACCCGTCTGGCCAGCGTGGTATAGTAGACCAAAACCTCCTTTCTAAGGAGAGGCCTATGTTCAGCAATGGACTAGTAAAGGCTGTCGATGATAATGAAGATGAATATGTACATATTAGTGACTGGCTTGTTGTCAAAGTCAAAATATCATAATTTAATAAAAAAAAAACAAAAAATATATTTTAAATCGTCTTGAGACTCTAAAGTCATATACGAGTATCAACACACACAATAGTAACAATCTTTTATGTCAGATATTTAGCCAAATGAAGTCAAGCCATTATACTGTGCCGATCTACAACCGCCTGTTTCCAAGGGGTTGAGAGCCTTGTTCCCACACAGGAGGGGGTCATCTACCTGCCGTAGATGGCCCGAGGTACGTCGGGGTGCCAGGGATTTCCTTTCTAATGTACACCTCGTGCCCCGGCTACTGGTACCCGAGACGGCGTGCGGATTTTAGTCGGTTCGAGTCCGACATAGCCACCGGTGAGTGAGCTGAGTCTGGGTATCCTTTGTGTCCGTTTCATGTATGTTTGTAAAGTCCCCCGCGACACAGGATTTATTTCTAGTGCTACAGTTCTTTTTAAAGAAAAAAAAAATGTAAAAAATTGTGTGATGAACATGTGGGAATATAAAAGTATGACTCTATCAGCAGTCTGGCATAGTACAAGCTCTGCCTAGTTTGGGATCAGCCGTTGGTGCAATGTGTAAAAAAAATGCTTTAAAATTGTTTATAATGTTGCTTCGATTAGTTACATTATCATAAGAAGTTGAGAAGAACAGATTAAATGAAAAGAAATTGTTGGTTCAATTTCATTTATTTTAACAAATATTTAACGAAGTTTGACTTAGAACAACTATTTTTCAGAAGGAGAATAACAAAGGCGTGTCCGTGCGTGTGTCGTGTGAGTTCTCACCCACCGTGCGGAGGAGGAAGCGGACCTCCTCGCCTCCAACTCTCTCTACTCCACACCATTACTCGCCCAGACCAGCGTCTTTGAGGAAGAACAGGTAAGCTTATTCATCAGTATAATCTCACTTGGCAGTGAGTGAAAGCCAAGTTCGGTTCCAGGAGTGAGTCGCGGATGAGTTATTTATCATCACGGGACATAAGTTGATCACGAGAAAAGTTGTCTCGTTTGAGAATCAAACTCACACTCTATTTCATAAAAATTTCAAAATTGTTTGAAATCGTCTTTTATGTAGACTCTAAAGTCATAGATCAACACACACAAAAGCAAAAATCTCTGTTTTGTCAAATAGTAAGCAAATAAATTTAACAAAAATCAAACCTATACAAAATCTATGATATGCCTGTGCCGATCTACAACCGGCCGTTTCCAAGGGGTTGAGCCTTATGAGAAGAAAGGGCAAACAAACTCAAGGCCACTCTTTTGCAATTCACATCATTCATTTCATTCAATTCACAAATTCAATCGGACGACCATCACTTGATATGATCACATGCTGAGGAGACTACTATGGTAGTTATGACTACTGGTAAAGCCAGTGGGCTACCTTTGAAATTTCATCCAGACTCGTTCAGTAATTCCTCGATATTGAGTAACAAATATCCAAACTTTCGCATTTTGTGCATAGTATTGTTGCGCCATAGAATTAATTGGTTCGATTGTATGAAATGTGGAGGACAGCGCGATCTAGTATCGACTAAAGTACATCAATTAAGATTGTGGTTAATACGAGTAGTTTTGATCCTTACAACGCTAGATGGCGCTGCAAGTAACGCGTGTATGATTCTAGAATATTCTTGTTTGTACAAAAAATCTTAACAGTAAATATCTTAAAAATAGTTATTTTTGGGAAATGGTATTTCATAGTGAAATCTATTAGAAATGATGGCAACTACAACCCCTTAAAGTGTATAGGTTGACTTATCCAGTAAACCTGTACATATATTAGGGCGTTTAAAAAAAATAAGAATTTTTTTTTTCTTCGGAACCACGCTCAAAAGTTTCGTTTAGATGCCAAAATATACCTCTGAAAATATGAGTCTTTAATAATAAAATTAAGGTTGTCCGCATCGCACGTTTCGATGTTTCATAAGAATAACACAGTTTTTTTTTTCTGCTTTTTATAACTAATCAACGATAAATTGCACTGCTATGGTTATCAAATATTTTTGTAGAGAGTTGAACACTCTATAAAAAAGGTCTGATGTCATTTTTCGATTAATCAGCTCGGTCAAAATTTATTCGAATTTAAAGTGAATTAATTCTTAATTTAGCCTTTTTCTTTATAATACTCCTAAATTTATGAGTTTGTTTACTACAGCTTTTATAAAAGAAAACAATGAAATGTAAAGAATGATGTCATCTTTCCTGACTTATCGCTATAATCTGCAATCATAATTAGTCTGATGATCTTCATTGACTCAATAATATAACTGCAGCCCTATGAGAGTTGTCTCAAGTTTGAGAATTTTAGTTAAAGAAATGGGTACTTGTAGGCGAAAACCTCCATTCTAAGGAGAGGCTTGGCTGTTGATGTGATGATGGGTACTTGTATTTCAGTACAAGCGGGCGGGTGCTGAAGGTGATGGTGGCGAAGATGCGGCTGGACTCTGACGGGGAAGGCTCCCCCCCGAAGAGAGCGCGGTCCCCGCCCGACCCGCTGCTGGCCTTCGACGCGCCCAGCCCCAACGGCGCCACTGACTCGGCAGTTATCGTCTCGTGAGTATACCCCTTTTTATAAACGACATCTAAAAAGCAGGTTTTGAATACTAGGATTGTTTCACCAACGATTTTATGTATGTTTAAGATGGTTTTAATAAATAAAAGTTATTGAGAGTAATGCCTCGTGGTGAATTGGTAACGTATGCGACTGTTGTGCTGAGATCTCAGGTTCGATTCCCACGTCGGTTTGCAAATATTTGTTTCGGAGTTTGAGTGTTTTCTATGTGTAATATGTATGTATTTACAAAAAAAAAAAAAGTATTTCAATAGTCAATCCAGCTTTCATATTACGAGCTTCGTTTAGTTTGAAACTAGATGGCGTTATGTGTCAACGTCCGAAAATATTAAAAAACTTTAAGCAATTATTTCGTTACTTATCGGAGGACCAACGCTTTGAAAATTCTAGGGGGAATTTAAAGGCCTATAACGCATTTGTACCCACTCAATTTCATATGTCAGCGTGGCGGTAGCCACTTTCCTTACTTATACTTAGGTAACAATTTGACGACCGAATGGCGTAGTGGTTTGTGTAACGGACTGCTATTCCAAAGGTCGCGGGTTCGATTCCCGCTCAAGTCAAGGATTTGTGTGCATGAACATTTAATGTTTGATTTGGTCTGGGTGTTTCTATGTATAATAAGTATGTATTTACAAAAAAAAAAGTATATATGTATTTATATCAGTTGTCTAGTACCCATAGTACAAGCTCTGCTTAGTTTGGGACTAGATGGCGTTGTGTGAATGTAGTAGAATATTATTATTATATTAACAATTCTGCCTCGCGAGCTATTGTTTTTTTTTAAATTAAACAATTAAAAAAACAAAACATTTCCTGCCTTCATATTCACACGTTCTTCCCTTTTGATACTACATACTCCACAGATTGTAACAAAGAGATAACATAATTTAGTTTTTTTTTAAACATGTGAAAATTGTAAAGATTTAGTCTTATTTTCTCCATTAGTACAACAAAGTTACTTATTTTGCAGTGTAACCCGAAGCCGTCTACTTGACAAAGAAATAAAACCAGAGCCTGATGCAACCCTTAGTCGACAAGACAGCCACGAAGCTCTGCGCTGCAGGATCAACAGCCAAGACAGTCTCGACAGCCACGAGAGTCGAATCAGTCAAGATACTTATGAACCACGGAACAGAACAAAAGAACCAGAGAACCAAAGGAGGACTAATAACCAAAACGGCAATGTTAGAGGGAGATTGTTGAGTGAGGACAGCGTGCAGCGCAGTAGAGGTGGGAGCCATGACAGTCGGGACAGCGACAGTGGAAGCGGGGGTGGGGGGGATTCTATTTGTGAAGGCAGAACCAGGAGGCCGAGGAAAAATGTCACTTACAAGGAGAAGCCTTTGAATAGGTATTTTTTTTATATACTAGACTACATACATATTATAGAAATAAAACATAGCTCACCTAGGACCCGTAATATTTTGTGGCCGTGGTGCTTCCCTGTTTAAAAGGGTGTATGCCTATTTTACTTCATTTTGTCTCCCGCTTTGCTAAGGAGGGAAGTGGATTTACTGTATTTCCAGCTCCTCCAATTTTCTTCTGATTAATTTCGTTGCGGGTTCCAAGACAGTTTAATTTCTTCCTGGGACTTCCCGAGTGTCATAACTCGGTGTGTTCGTGGGTCACTGCTGAGGATCCTGGTGTACAGGACTTACAGTGGGATTAGTCGCTACAAAATTACTAGACTACTTGTTACAACAGTAGAAGAAAGATGGATGGACTGGTTAAAAGAAGATATTTGTAGAATATAGAAGTTGAATAGTGGGATTAGCTAGCGAGCTCGGGTTTTACAGCAATAGTTACATGTGTGTGACCTGGACCAGAGGGCTAAGTGCTAGTGTATCACATCAACTCACTTGTCATGGTGATTGCGTTCGACGCTGCGATTGGTCCGCACTGAAATCTCCACCAATCACAACGCCCAACGCGCTCGCTGTCGAAAATTGATGTGAAATAAATTTACACTAGGCTTGTATTATAATCATCATCATCAACAGCTTTTAATAGTCCACTGCTAGATATAAGCCTTTTCTTAGAAAGGAGGTTTTGGCCTACTATACCACGCTGGCCAGACGGATTGGTATAGGGTTTGTGTCAAGTTTTCCTTCTCGCTGTTGTCCTGCGTAGTTTGCTCCCTTAGTCGCCTGTAGACCCACTACATGAATAGGGGTGGTGACACTCTGTATTCTTAATCCGTCACTACACGGGCACTTACTGGGCCCTCAGCTTAATCTATGGCTTACATTCCCCAATCCATCTGTTCCATCCGCCATCGTTCCACATGGTAAATTTTTTATCCCCATCACCTGGATAGTTGGCGCTCCACTACTGTGCGCTTTTTGAGACACTTTTTGCCCCGCACAACAAAACTGTGGAACGAAAACCTTCAAACCTTCAAGAAAAGAGCGTACTCCTTACTATAAGGCCGGCAACGCGTTTGTGACTTCTGAGTTGCAGACGTTCATGGACGGCAATGGTCACTTTCCATCAGGTGACCCGTTTGCTCGTCTGCCCCTTCTAACATAAAAAAAATAAACTAGATATTGCCCGCAGCTCCGTTAGCGTGATTCTAACTTTGGAAATGAGGAACTTTCATACAACCATACATCCCTTAATTTAACCTCTTAGGGGTGAAATTTCCAAAAATCCTTTCTTATTGGGTGTTTACAACATCAAAAAGCTGATGTTTACAACATCAGCTGCCAAAATTTTAAGTTTGTAGCTCCAGGGGCTCTGCTTTGATGATTGAAACTTTTGATGCCATGTTCTGATATAAATAACGCTAAAACTGTATTTTTGTCTTTACTATTACTTTGCTTTTATTATTACGTGTATAATTATGTTATTTTTATTTTTTCAGGAAATTAAGAAGATGATCTTCTATGAATGTACTTACATAGTTATATTTGAAGAATAATCGGACCAGATATCGAACCTACACCTCAATGTATGTACAAACTTGTGTATAAATGATTGATACTGTAGGCTTTAAAAAGGAAAATTTACATCTGCTATTGGAAAGAAAGTTCTCTCGTTCCATGGTCAAGATATAATGTTCAGAAGGCCAATTCTCGCAATACGTATTGGTCAGAAGTCAGTATTGAGCAACTCTCGATCTTTTTTGTCATAATTGCTGGCGGGGACAGGTCTCGACCGATTTGGTCGACCAGGACTTCAGACGCTCACCCGGGCAGTCTTCCAGCGTATGCTGGACGGAGTCCCAGTCGTCTGCGCAGTGCTACCATTGTGCCGTCTCCTCGCGTCCAATCCGATTCAGGTACTCACCGAAGCAGCCCAGTAAGAACCTGCGTCAGTCGGTGACGTGGCCTCCCTCCTTAAGGTTCTACTATACACAATACACTTTTATTACGAGAATTGACCTTCAGGGCCTGTTGATCCCTTGATTAGTTGGGGTTGGGTTCAATTCCAAACAATTGCGTGATGAACACAATCATGTTTTTAATTTATCTATAACATGTGTGTATTTAGAAATATATAACTATGTTTATCAGCGGTCTGGTTACCATAGTACACCTCTTCTTAGTTTGGGATCAGATGTTTCTAGTTATTTTTGTATTGAAATCATTTCTCTATAGTATTTCTTCCATCATTTATATACAAGTTTATAATAGTCAAAGGGAATAACGGAATGTAATTGAATAATGCTCTAGTTTAATATTAACATTGTTATTATGAACTTATGTTTGTTTGTTTAGACAAAAAAATATGTAGGAAAATAATCTCGATTTATATACTGAATTTTCTGTAAAAAAATGGTTTAGATGTGGACATGTAGTGATTATGTATATGATGTACGTATACAGATATTTTTATCGTTCGTGTGGTGACGGATAAGAATACAGAGTGTCACCACCCCTATTCATTCCGTGGGTGTCGTAAGAGTCGACTAAGCACTGCAAAGTGAAGGTAAACTTGACATAAACCATGTACCAACCCGTCTGGCCAGCGTAGTATACTAGACCAAAACCTGCTTTCTAAGCAGAGGCCTGTGTCCAGCAGTGGACTAGTAAAGGTTATTGATGTGATACAGATATTTAAATAGGTAGTGAAACATCTATATTTACAGATCTGATTTATTTAAAAGCTCTCTGATTCATTTAAAAACGTTAAGATTAAAAGATAGATGTCTTTGTAACTGGCTTTCTTATACATGTGTACGTAGAACCCAATTTTTTCCATCCCCTTACAAAGATGTTCACATCATCAGCCTATAACAGTCCACTGCACTGTTCTCTTTAGAAAGGAGGTTTTGGCCAACCATAAAACCTGGCCAGCAGGTTGGTACAGGTACAGGGTTCGTTTCAAGTTTTCCTTCTCTTTGTAGTGCTGTTGTGTCCTGCAGAGTTTGATTTCTTAGTCGGTTCTACAACAATAAAATTATTGTTTGTTATTTTGTAAAAAGTTTAAAGGTAATTGATATGTCTAGATATGCTGTAAAAGCTTTGAAAAAGAAAATAGTGTCTAATTGTTGGCCACAAAATATTTTTCGCGGTGACTATAAACGACATGCACTCATATCAGTATAATAAAATTGGACATTTAGTTGTTTTGTAGTTCAATACTCCATCTAGACATATAAATCATAGTTCTAATTAGTTAAGAAATTCTTGAATAACTATCTTCACACTGGATTTTTCATACTAACTATAGTTCATAATTTATAACATCTTATTTATATCATCTGGTTGCCTTCCATTCGAAACAGTATTGCCTTAAAGTTGTATGTACATTGTGATGTCTACAAATAACCCGTTCGTAAGGATTTATTTTCTATTACAATATGAAGTAACTGGGGCTAACTTCACTGCGGTGATGTTCGACTGATAAATTATATGTTTGATAATGTATCAATAATTCAATAAATTATGTTAAACATTCGTGTTTGTTATTTATTTACTTTCTTCTTATATATGAGTATTGTTTTTTTTTTATAATAATATAATAAAATATATGATTTTTTATTTTAGAAAAAACAACTCGTATCTAACTATATATTAGGTCTTTACCTATGAAATTGCCGTTTTGTATGCAATATGTGAAAGTACTTATTTTTTCAAACTTTTTTATTTCTGTTATTCGAAGTAATCACCCATACAATCGACGCATCTTTGCAAACGCATTGGCAGTTTATTGATGCCCTTCTTGTAAAAATCATCTGGACGGGAGGCAACAAACTCTTCAAAGGCATTTTGTACTGCCTCTCGGGAATTGAATTTTTTACCCACTAAAAAGTTGTCTAAATTTTGGAAAAAGTAATAGTCGGTAGGTGCAAGGTCTGGTGAGTATGGCGGATGAGAGAGAGCTCCCAACCCCAGCTCTTGCAGCTTGGAGACTGTCTGTTGCGCAGTATGGGGTCGCGCGTTGTCGTGAAGGAGCAGTGGGGACGACCGATTGACCAAAGCTGGTTGCAGATGTGATCCCCCCCCCCCCCCCCCCCGAAGTATGTACTTGTGACTGTTATGTTGCAATAAACCATTGGCAGTGATAGTGAGTTACCATCTGGTGATCCGTGTGCGCGTTTGCCTCCCATGGATTTCTGCAGAATAACCCAACTTCTCTCGTAATAGGAACTTTCTGGTTACGGTTTGGGATTACGACGGCAATATAAAAAAGTAAATACTACTAAGTATAAATTTGACTGCACGGATGGCGTAGTGGTTTACTGCGCCGAGTGTTGTGGGTTCCAACCCCACATGGGTGACTTTGTGTGATCCACAAATTGTTGTTCTGAGTTTGGATGTTTTTGAGCCCGTTTCATGAATGTTTGCAAAGACCCCATGATACAGGATATTTTCATTTTGTAGACTTTTGTACATTTTTTTTAAATATTAACTGTCTGTTATCGGGTAAAAAATAGCCTATGTCCTGACCTACAACTCAATACCAAATTTTATCTAAATCGGTTTAGCGGTTATTGATTCCCTTAAAGGACGATTCTAACTATCCTATTTCCTTTCCCGGGACTCAAACTATCTCTATGCCAATCTAAAAGACAGACAGACACTTTCGCATTTATAATGAATTATGTCTAGATTATGTTTGAAATGTTTTAGTGAAATTGTAATATAAACAAAAGTATATTGAAATATTTGCATGCCACAAGGTGGAATATGAAGGAACGAAAACTATTGTACCCATATTCGCAAATAAATGTTTATTATTATTATTATTATATTAGTATGGATTTTAAGTAGTAGAACTGATATACTAGTATAGTTACCGGTCCGGATCTTGAGCGCTCGGCGGCAGAGTGGGGATCGCTTTGCGCATCGTTTTTTTTTTATGGTATAAAGGGGCAAACGAGCAGACGGGTCAACCGATGGTAAGTAACTACCGCCGCCCATGGAGTCCCTCTAAGGGCAGCAACGCACTTGGGGATTTGGGCTCCGGTAACCTCACTCACTCAGTGAAAGGCAACGAAAGAAAAAAATGTCACTTATGGCAAAATAAAATGCACACCTATTCATTATTATTTATTCTTCTTAGTTAGAATAAAATAAAAAAAAGATCACAACCATAATAAGACAAAATGGTTTTAATTAAAATAAAAACAAAAAGACGTAAGTATTACCATTGTTTAAAAAATATTTTCTTTTTAAAATTATTATTTCCTTCCATTAAATCACTTTCTCATTTAAGACTTATACGGTGTCCAATTCTTCATCGTCGTATTGTGTTATAGGTACATATTAGAGAATACATTACGCTAATCTATACTAATAATATAAAGCTGAAGAGTTTGTTTGTTTGTTTGAACGCGCTAATCTCAAGAACTACTGGTCCGATTTGAAAAATTCTTTCAGTGTTAGATAGCCCATTTATCGAGGAAGGCTATAGGCTATATATCATCACGCTAAGACCAATAGGAGCGGAGCACCAATGAAGAATGTTTCAAAAACGGAGAAAATTTATGACTATTGAGAGACGCAGACGAAGTTGCGCGGGTCAGCTAGTCTAATACACTCGCATAAAAATCTCAATTTTTAACTGCCTAAATTGTGATTGTGACTGATTAAATTATTAATAAAACAAGAAATACCCTATTAATTTGCTCAGCAGTGTACTCGTTGTACTTAAGTGCAAGAAAACGAATCAGGAGTAGCGACAATATCGGTGAGCCAATCACTGGCTGACGATATGATTTAATTGCCCCCCCCCCCCCCCGTGCTATTTCATATCTCAAAAGGGAGCAAAAAATCGACTTCTGCACAGGTGAAGGTCAGCGCTCAAGATCGGTGCCGTATGGTACTACCATGTATTCTGTGAAAATAGCTAAACATGGGACTGACGTTGTAGAGGTAACAATTTCGAACACCAAACAATACACTACCGGTGTTAAGTAAAAATTAAGCATTAACTTAGTTGAATAGGTCAATAAGAATACTAAAAATGTATCCGTATCTTTGAGGTAGTTATAGTATCGTTCAGCAGTGGAGGGCGATAGGCTGATGATGACGATAATGATCTGAGCCTCAATTCTGCTATTTTAATATTGTATCAATAGACTGTCGATGGAATGTCATCGGAATAGTTTTGCACTTTTCCTATTCTACTAACAATGTAAGACACTCATAAAAATGTCATCGAAGTCTTAGTAACCGTTTGGTAAACGGTAGATTTTAAAATTGTAAGAAATTTATATATTTAATTTTCCAGGAACGGCTATGGTGTTGATATCAACATTGACGACCTATATTACTACGAGTATTTCGACAATCTATTGACACGGTGAATTTTTGTTAGTAGAATACTGATATTTTGACCGATGTCATTGGCATCTCAATGGTGAGGCAATGGCTTGGCAATGGTTAACATAAAATAGCAGAATGGAGGCCCTGATGTATCGTCAATAGGTCGTAGTAGGGGTACAGGGGTTATTAATACCATTATATTAATACATTTTGCCAGCAATAATGTAATACCACTCATTATTGCACTCCACAGAACATTTTTTCTTCGTCAGATTTGCACTACAATAGGTGGCCGGATATCGGTTTGTGTAACGGATTGCTATGCCAAAGGTTCGATTCCCGCTCAAGTCAAACATTTGTGTGCATGAACATTTGATGTTTTGATTTGGTCTCGGTGTTTCTATGTATAATATGTAGGTATTTACGAAAAAAGTATATACATATATTTTTATCAGTTGTTTAGTACCATAGTACAAGCTCTGCTTAGTTTAAGACTAGATGGCGTTGTGTGAATGTGGTAGAATATTATAATAAGTACAGGCGATGATGAAATAATTATACAATAATTTTTTAGTAATATTTTAATTAGCATTTATCTTTATTTCAACATGTCATAAGTTGTTTCTTCTTTTCATATTAAACCTCATAAATGTTAATAGTAGGGTAGTAGTTTTATACATGTTGAATTCCGTTGACTAATTAATAAATATTACTATAATTCTAGTAGAAACCTACTTTAGTAACATTTAGATTGTATTCTAAATGCAAATTTTATTAGTGTTATAATATTTTATTTAGTAAATAACAGGACTTAAAACTAAATATGGATTTTTGAATTTAAGACTATTGTTTATTAAGGACATGAAAATTGTGTAGATATTTTTGTGTTTACGTCAGTTTATATACGTGAACGTGTGTACAAGGGAATCTGTATGAGTGTGTACAGTCAAAACCAAAAGTAGGTGACCACATCCATATTTCCAAAACCTATTTACATCTATGCATTCATAATTCATTTATTGGATTAAGAATACAGTGTCACCACCCCTTTTCATCCCGTGGGTGTCGTAAGAGCCGACTATGGGAGCAAACTACGCAGGACAACTGCACTGCAGAGAGAAGGAAACCTTGACACAAACCCAATACCAACCCGTCTGGCCAGCGTGGTATAGTAGGTCAAAACCTCCTTTCTAAGGAGAGCTCTATGTCCAGCAGTGGACTATTAAAGGCTGTTGATGAGGATTCATAATTCGCGAGACGAGCTACAATTCTTTAAGCATTGTAAAAGTTTTAAGTTATCTAAAGACTACATTGTACGAAGTAACTGAACACCAACTTGTCCAAAGTGGCTGAACAAAATTGCATTCAAAACGTCTTAACACCATGCGTTATTAAACGACTTAACATACGTCGATGTACACGGGTTAAGCAAATATCACAGACCACATGTCGACTCCAAACTAGGCAGAGCCAGTATTGTGGGAACTTAGATTGTCGTCTGGTTTCCGACTTGATAAATCGATGAATGTTACGAGTCTTAGAAAAAAAAGTTATCTACTTGTGATTATCGTTTTAAAGCAAAATTTATTACATACTGCTGATATTCATACTTATAGATATATTTCTAAGTACATACAATTTTTTGTCCGGGATTGGAATTGAACCCGAGACCTCTGCTCACCAGTCAGGATAAAATACGAGACTAACAGGCCTGTCAACAATCTACTTTTGTAGCTGACCGTACTTAGGTACTTACACATTTCACTCACACACTCAATGAATAGTTATGCTAGCAATTATTGCTATCTCTTATTTAAAATTATTTCTGACTGCCTCGGTGGCGCAGTGCTAGCGTAAGCGACTGCTGTGTTAAGGTCTCGGGTTCGATACCCGGGTCGGACTAAATGTTTGTATGATCAGCAAATATTTGTTTCAGAGTTCGGGTGTTTTCTATGTATAATATGTATGTATTTACAAAAATCTATCAGTCAATCTATATTTTATAGCACAAGCTCTGCTTAGTTTGAAACTAGATGGCGTTGTATGTCGGATGTCCGCATCAATTATTATTATTATTATCTATATATTAAGATCGAACTTGACATAAGTTAATATAAGACACTACTTTAAAATATATATTTAATAACGCACCGTTCTCAAATCGTCAGTCCATCATCAATAAATCTTAAAATATAGTATAGTACAACAAATGTTGCTACTATTAATTAAACAACTGATTATGCAGTATTATCGGCGTCCTTGTCTGGCGGCGCGGGCGCAGGTGTAGGTTCCACTGGTTGCAGAGTTATCACCGTGTCTGGTTCTCTTGGCTGAGTTTCTTCCTGAGGACAAAATATACATAGAATAGAATATGCTTTATTGTACACCAATTACAGTAAGTTGGTTAAATATTACAGATGGATATGTACAATGGGCGGCCATATTGCTAATAGCAATCTCTTACAGGCAACCTTTGGATGGACAAATCGACAGTAGATAAGAAGAAACAGGTCGCAGAACGACCTCCGTCCTCCATAAGCGCAGGCCTGGGGGTGACAGGTGAGGCCATCTGTCACCCTAGCAGAAGCAGGCCGGGGTGACGGCGAGCGCGTTGCGAAGCGCGCTCGCTTCCAGGGAGCACAGGGAACATGGGGTTCCCACACTGGGTCGTCTACTCGTCTGTAGATGGCCCGAGGTATGTCGGGGCACCAGGACTTCCTTTCTAGGGTATACCTGGTTCTCCGGCTATTAGTACCCGAGACGGCGTGCGGTTTTAGTCGGTTCGTGTCCGACATGCCACCGACAGGTGGTATCCGAGGGGATTTCCGCACGGAAAAACAAAGGTGTATTGAAGCTAACGTATATATACATACACATACATATAAATACATATACCTACATATTTAAACCATTTTTATCTCGATAAATATTTTATAGTTTGTTGCTTTAAGATATAGTTAATTCATAACTATAATATTTATTTTAAGAGCTAAAAGGCGACCAAGGAGGTTCATATTGTTGACGCCTATAATTTGAATAAACGTTTTAATTCCAAGCAGTCATACCTGAACAGTAGGAGTGGCAGTAGCGCTATTCTCAGCAGCCTGTTGTGTTCCACTTTTCTTCAGTTTTCTCCTCTCAACGTGTCCGGCACAGTGTTCACATTCGTCGTCGCTGTCCTCAGAATCTGATTCGCCAAACTTGTGGGGTTTCTCGTATACACAACAACCTGTATGTGCATAGAAAATAATCTGTTGTTGTGGAATAATTTATTGTTTACGTGTTATTTCGGGCACTAGTACTCAGTTTTTTTTTTTTTTTATCTTTTAAGTGCTATTGGGTTACTCTGTGTTCTAGTGAATCAGACTTAGGAATACTTTTATATAAGTCATCATAAACAGCCTTTAATAGTCCACTGCTGGGTATAGGCCTCTCCTTAGAGAGGAGATTTTTGCCTACTATATCACGCTGGCCAGACGGGTTGGAATAAGGTTTGTGTCAAGTTTTCTGTTTCTTTTGCAAAGCCTCCTGCGTAGTTTACTACCTTAGTCGACTCTTACGACACCCACGGGATGAATAGGGGCGTTGACACTCCGTATTCTTAATCTGTCACCACACGGCCGATAGTTCGTATTTGTCTTCTTGTAAATAAAAAAGGTTACTTACATTTGGATTTCTTTTTATTCATATGTTCGTTGTCGACGGTGTCCTCGGTCCAGACGACCTTCTTGCGCTGCTGGGTTTGTGGTGCTCGAAGCGTTATCACAGCTACGCGAGGTTCCTGAAATCAAAAAGAATAACACATTATTTGAATAAACGATATATATTAAGGTTATTTGACGAATAAAGTAGACAATAAACTTACTTTAAGGTTCATTATTAATAACTTTTGTGATTATTTTTTAATATTTGTGTCGTCAAATTAAACAAAAAACAGAACGTAAAGTACTTTTACCTTCATGCACTAAAAATTTTTCACGTTAACTATACAAACATACTTGTAATAAGCACACAAATTGGATACAACTAAAGTATTAAACAATACCGCCCCGTACTTGTACCTTCATAGCAAATACGGGGCCGGCTGGTAGTCCGGCTACTTTAGGTTTCCAGCCGGACATACTACCAGACTCTGGTAGTGACCATATTAAGGGGACTGTTCCACTAGTCTCTCCTGGTTTTCACTCTTCCCTACCACACCGTCACTGGTTGGGATGAGTGGAATTTCATTTCCACTTATCCCTACTAATAAAATCTTAACGTATTGTTGTACAGTTCAATCAAAATAGCGAAGTATTGCCTTGACTGCTGCGTTACCTCTTTTACCTGTGGACCAGGTGACAGATGGTTTTATATAAAATCTAACATCATTGAAGATTTTCGCATGGAAAAATTCATGCAGTATTTTCATATACGCTGGCTTAAAAATAAAGAATTTCAGTAACGGAACGGCTTTGGTCTGCGACACCGCACCAACAATTTCGCCGAAGCAAGAAGAATTTTCAATAAAACCTAATTATTACCAACACAAGTAGCATTTTTGTTTGAATATGTTAAGAGAGAAGAAATCAGCAACATTATTTTTGAGAAAATCTAAAGTTCCTCGAGTTATGTAAACAAAACTATTTTTGTTATGTTTTAGATGTATATACTTACCGTGTTTACTTTACTCTGGTATTTATGAATCATCTCATTCTCGGCAATTTATGGGATCCAGAAAACGTTGAGTTTATATGAAAGCCAAGGGTAGGATGGGAGCAGCCACGATTTTTTTTAGGTTAGGGCAAAGCCAAGGAAAAAAAAAAATTCCATATATGATAATTAATTAAAATAATATTAAGACAATTTTTTAAGTATTTATTTCAGTAAGAGCTTCCGAGAATTCTGAATATTTTTCAAACATGACTTAAAAGCCCTTATATATCAAGGATTCCATCATCATCAAAATAATTACCGTTTCAGAAGATAATTGCTTGCTATTAGTAGACAACAACTTCCGGGAAAGAGAGGTCTATATGCAAAAGTTTCGACTAATAAATAAATACTAAAACAACGAAAATGAGCCTTGGGAATAACACCATCAGTAATATTTGTTTTTGTTTTACTGGTTATTTATTATTTTGTATATGTATATATATTATTAGCTGTATATATATTTTACTAGTTTAAGTTTTATCATGCCTGTAAAAGATAACAATTTATTCATTCTTATTCTTTCATTCTCAAAATTTCTTTTGGCTCTACCACAGCTCTACATAAAATCCTTTGACAGTTTGTCTTTCAAATACATGACATTAGCGAAATTGTGGTTACACTCTACCACAAAGCCAATAACCAAAAGTTGAAGTTGAACACCATCAGTACGGTTGTCATGGTATCGGCGCGTCAACAACACAAAAATGACGAAGTTTGACTTTCTCATCTTTTACGTTGTGGACGTTTTGTATTGTTGGTAAAACAACTAACAGCGGATGACTATCGCGCATCGTATACACGCGACCTAACACCATCAGTATATTCTTTATCATTATGCTTTTAAACTAGAAATATACCACCACGATATATAATACCACCACGTTACATAACATACCACGATCTCTCAGAAAACAGTTCTTCATTGCGCATATTATCAAACTGTAGCATACTGTTTTCCAGAACGGTTTTCACTTATTACAAAATTTTATCGAATACTGCTCAAAACTATTGCCGTATGTTATTTCGATGGCTTTAATATGATTGCGGTACCCGTATCTCTCTTTCTAAAGCCGGGAAATGCAAAGCTCGCCGAGTGAGAGCTCGGCTAATTGTCGGTAAGTTTCTCTGCTTCAGAGGAAACGAACACCAATGTTACCGAAAACAATTAAGCATTCGGATAGGGCCCACATGTGGTGGTACATGCTCACCATTTGGCGAATACGACCTCAAATACCCGAATTTCTGGTCGCGGCTTAAGGCAATCTAAATCATATACAAAATACAGGGTTTCCAATACTGGAGCATAAAAATAACAAAATAAATATATATATACTTAATATCAATATGAGAATTTAATAATATACACAAAAAATACCATGTGTAGAAAGGTATATAATTCGAGAAAGATAAGTTTTATTACATCATATTTTAAGTGCCAAGATAACATTATTTATGTGGGGTAAAGTCTTACTAAGTATATAAAATAATTACTGCCATTACGTTAAGATAAAAGAATTCGATAACTCGTTCGCAATAAAAACAACGTATTGAGTTAAAAACTGACTATTAATAAAAAGAAATCCAGCCTTAAAAAAAACGAGTTTTTAGCAATTTAATATAATTGATGTGTTACGTGATGGTGACAAAAAAGGCACCATCATTTTTAATAGTGGAAGCAAAGTTTAAAAGTAACTTATTTGACAATACCAAAGTTCATATTCTTGGCATCGTCAAATCAACTTTTGTTTAGTAGGGTAGTAAGTAATATTTTGCTGGTCTATGCATGTCTGTGGTCAATTAAATTCACTTATCATTAATACAGAGAAGGTATTGGTATTGTCTTTTCAACGCACGATCTTATCCGCGAATAATGTGTCAATTTTCTTATCGTGATAACCCAAGAAATTCGCCAATATATCCCTGGTGTGTTGTCCTAAAGTAGGGGGTGCTGTTCTGGCCTCATTACCGCCCAACCCATAAACAGTAGGAGGACCCACCACCTTGACTGTTCCTGCCTCAGGATGTGGTAACTCTTTGACTAAATTAATAGCCTTTACATGCTCATCTTCAAAGACGTCTTTCATTTTGTTAATTGGTCCATTGGGGAAAGAAGCACCTTTAAAAAGTTCCTTCCACTCTTTATTAGTTTTCGTGACAATAACTTCACTGATTATTTTAATAATCTCATCTCTATTTTCCACTCTTTTCGAATTGTCCTTAAATCTTTCATCGTCAATCAGGTCTTCTCTTCCGATAATCTTGCAAAAGTCAACGAATTGGGCATTTGATCCAGTACCTATCACCATGTACCCATCCTGAGTTTTAAACGCTTGGTACGGGACAAGATTGGCGTGAGCCGTACCCCATCTTTGCCCTTCGATGCCACAATTCAAGTAAATCGTTGCTATATTTATCATACTCGATATTTGAGTAGACAGAAGATTGCAGTCAATCTTTTGCCCTCTGCCTGTTTTCTGCCTGAAATATAACGCTGTCATGATAGCTCCGAAGGCATGAAGTCCTGTGGTAATATCTGTGATTGCAACTCCAGGTTTGCAAGGGTCACCGTTACGTTCCCCGGTTGTGTTGAGCAATCCGCCCATTGCTGATGCAATAACATCATAGCTGAAAATAATAATTTTATATAGAATAGCGTAGAAATCATGAGTGGAATTGAAGTAGGAATTTCGTTCTCAATATTTCTGATTTTGCTTAAGGAAGCTCCATATCATTGTAGTTAGCGCTAAGCTGAATAGCATTAAATCCACACACACACACAACACAGACTAACAATTGCGGTTTAGTATAGTTTGTTTTATTCATTTTATATTGTTGTTGATGGAAATCCCCCAGGCCCCAGGTGGCGTTAAGGGCAGCGATACAGTTCTCTTAACTACCGAGTCATTTTGGCACGTTTGAGTTTCGAATAAAGCTTTTATTACTATTTTTAAAACAACCGACATAACCCGTTCACAAGTGAAGGAATAAATAAATAGGCATGATGATGAATTTTCTATCCCGTGCTATAAACAGCTCAGTGTTAATTTTTGGTCGGATGGGATTTGATTTGATGATTTTGGCTTTTTGGTCGGATGGGTAGTGATTCTAAATTGTAGTTCATCATCATATAGGTCATCACATTAGGTCACGACGATGACGATGAAAATGCAAGACCGCTCCTCCTCCGCTGCAGGACGAAATGGCTTGGATGAATGGAAAAAAGTTAGAGTCTACAGTATTATTTTACATACTTATAATTTGAAAGGGTTATATATTTACATTCAATCTACTAGCAAGCAGTGTCATTTTCGTGATATCAATTTTATGGAGTATGAACTTCATGCTTTGTGCTAATCAAACTAATGGAATCAATAACTTATCTATAGCTACTGCCTCGCCTGAGCCCATGAAACAATCGTCTGCAAAGATCAATAAATGGTGGTAGGGCTAAATCAAAAGTCAGTTTCTAAACTTAGTGTAGGTAAAAGACGAGAGAGAGAGAGAGAGAGAGAGAGAGAGAGAGAGAGAGAGAGAGAGAGAGAGAGAGAGAGAGAGAGAGAGAGAGAGAGAGAGAGAGATAGAGAGCGAGAGAGTTAGAGAGTTAAGTTACATTTCACGATCTTTCCCAAAACAATCTTACCCTGGTTTCTTTGCATAAGGTCCCGTAGATCCGAAGCCCGTGATAGAACAGTATATTAATTTTTGGTTGATTCCCTTCAACTGTTCATAGCCCATGTCGTACTGATCGAGTTTGCCAGGAATAAAGTTTTCTACCAACACATCACATTTTTTTGCTATATCATGCAACACTTTTTTGCCTGAAATTTTCATATTATCAAAACAGAGTTTAACACAAGTACTTCATCAATCATCAACTGTCCGTGTGGTGACGGATTGAGAATACAGAGAGTCACCGCCCCTATTCATCCCGTGTGTGTCGTAAGAGGCGACTAAGGGAGCAAACAACGCAAGACAACAGCACTGCAAAGAGAAGTAAAACTTGACACGAACCCCGTCTGGCCAGCTTGGTATAGTAGGCCAAAACCTCCTTTCTAAGGAGAGGGCTATGTCCAGCAGTGGACTATTAAAAGCTGTTGATGAAAATTATAATAATTTCTCTCTAAACTAAACTCTATGTACACTTTTTTAGGAGTACTGAAGTACATTTATGATGCTTTTGAAGTGATAACTTCTTATGGGAGTTACAGTCTGTCTGGCTTCCCTTTCTCTCACGTATATGGTAGTGTGTGTGTGTGTGTTAGGTATCTCAACTAATTTTGATGAGTCAGCCTAAAAATGTTTGGTTGAAGTAGTTTAGTAACTTATGATAGTGAAATCTTCTGTATAATGTTTTCCTTGTCAACTTACAGAAACCACTTATATTCTATCAGTGATCCGCCCCGGCTTTGTACGGGTGCAACGTAGATACTACTAATGTGGTGTCAGTGTGGACTAATTAATTATACTATTATTATGATAGGCCTATACTACAGGAATTTTTATTTGCATTATTTATAGGCCTGCTCCGATTTTGCCGGCCGCTACCACTCGCGACGTACGTTCGGTACGAAGCCGCGACGGCCGCTTTGTCCCCGCATTTTAAACCTCTAATATCTTCTAAAATATCCTACGTATCTAACGTATTAATTGGATAAGAAATAATATTGTATAAAATAACATAGCTTCGTAAATAACCCAAAATGTTTTTTGTAATATTCAAAAGTTAAAAAAGATTACTTTTTGTTATCTTTAGGAGATAGAGATATAGATCTTTTTAAGATATACAATTCCGTAGTAAATTATTTTGGTCTATCTCGTAAGGATTAGCATGCGTTTGCAATGTAAGCGTGCAAAACCATGTCTTTTACGACAAATCCTTAAAATTATATTTTTTCTTTTAAAATATGCATGTATTATACATATAAACCTTCCTCTTGAATAACTTTCTTTATTGGTGAAAATCGCATTCAAATCCGTTACTTAGTTTAAAAGAGTTGTGTACATGAAACAAAGGGATTGTATTTTACGAGTATACTATGTTAAAGATTGTTCTAAACAACTGGCTTAGAACCGTAATATTATCATAGTAAGTTACCAGGAACACCATATTATTATGCTTTTACCATGAACTACAGAACTAAATTGTATGTAAATTGAATAAGGTGTACTTTTGATTGAAGCTCTCATTTCTCAGTGTGACTCAGTAATTTACACGTTCCAGTGTTCTTGTCAAGTAAACAATATGTTTAGCACTAAAAACATTCAAGTTACGAGATTGTTTATTCAAATTATTCAAAACATTTGTATTGTGTATTAAGGTTTTTTTTTAAAGTTTTATCAAAACTGTCCGATATCATATATGAATCATTATTTTTGTTTTGGATAGAGAATTAATTAAGAAAGGTTATAAGACTCTGACTCTGACTTTTGTGATTTTATTGGCAGGCTGGAAAATCCTTACAGATAGGATGGGGACGCAGGAGCCAATAGTATGTAATGGTTCCACTAAAAACCACCCCCTCAATGGCTTGAGGTGCTCTACTCTGGGGAGGACCCAGACTATGTGATTACAGGTTCTCTTTGAATCAAAGTTGTGCCAAAGCAGGCCCTGTCCTGTCGGGTCACAGCTCGGCCTAAAACCTTCAAATCATGTGATGTTACATATGTCTGTAGACAACATCAAACTATTACCCTTAGGAGCCTAACAGTGAAATGCAAGCAAGACTGTGTCAACACAGTCTTGCTTGCATTTCAGATTCAAATCTACAGTGGTTAACGAGAATGCCTGTGTTGTTACTCTGAAGATCTTATTTAGACAGCTATTGCGAATAGTTCTCTGCCAAACAAACTTAAATCAACAATCTTTCCAAGTGATAATAAGTTGCTATATTTAGCCTACTGTTAATATATTAAATGTGAGTGAGACTTTACGTCTTTATCTGTTTACAATATTTATTTACCATCTGTTTACAATATTTATTTACCGAGTGTAACTAAAGGTACTTGGAACCATGCTGCCACTTATTCAGGGGGTTTTCGAGGAGCGAGGGGGGGGGGGTAGTTTGTTCGTCACATAGTCAATATCATATATGTAGCACTGTATTAATAAAAGCAAATACTTTTACTCTTGGCAATGATTTACAACCACATTTATGAATTACTATGTGTAAACTGAAGGTAAAAATGAAAAGGGTCACATAATATGGTAATGTTCCTTCACTTGCATGCTTTGCTTGCGATAAAAGTTATTTGTCTATGCCTTGGGAACAGAAGGCCAATTCTCCTAATAACAGTTCAATAACAATTCAGTTCCGATCAACTTTCAATCTCAATCTCACTACTGTCATAATAAGTATTTTCATATTGAATTTTGAACAAACTTTTATTAAGAGAAGTGGCCTTCAGTGCTCACTAATTATAAGTAAAAAAACGTGTGCGGGACGACCGACAGAAGTGATCTAAGTTGAACTATTTAATATTGAAATTGTTTAACTTGAGAAAAGCTTAGGTTATTACTTAAATGTTATGTAAAGTGTCTGCCCGAAATACGACTAGGGCCGTGGGGACGAGTGAGAGAGGAAGTGCCTGCCTACCGCTGCCGTATGCGGGACAGAAAGTGAAGCCAGACAGACTGGCGCCGTAACGCGTTAACGGTAACCAGACCGCTGATAAACATGCTTAAATATTTCTAAATACATACATATTATAGAGAAATTACACCCAGAGAGAATAAATGATTGTGCACATCACTTTTTTTTTGTCCTGGGTGGAAATCAAACCCACAATCTCCAACCACTCTACCAACAGGCCTATCATACTCTATGGTGTGAATTAAGAAAACAGGTTTTAGTTATTTTAATCATAAAACACCTAAAGTTAGCCGATTTAAACAAATTTAGTGCTATATTTATTCTTTTGTTCTATTGAATTTGTTTCCATATTTTAGTTTGTTAAATTTTTCACCTTGTAGAATGAATAGTTTAATAATGTTTACGCATTAATTATTTATATAATACATTTTAATCACAAAAAATTTTTGAACACTAAATTGTTGTAAGGGTTAAAAAATTACATGCATATTAAATAAATATTAGATTAAAACAGTATTAACTTACCCTCAGGTGTTTTAAAATCAATACAGATACTCTTCTTATTACGGTTCACAGAACAAGAATAAAGAGAGTCTTTATTCTCGTTAATAAAAGGAGGACCCCATTTTCGAGCCTCATCCCCATCAAAACTTTCCACTTTTATTACATTTGCGCCTAAATCACCCAAAACCATAGTACAGTAAGGACCAGCCACTATCCTTGAGAGATCTAATACATTAACATCACTGAGCAAACCGAGTTTAGTTGAATATTCGTGTTTTAATATCCTCAAATATGTTTTTATGGCGCAAACGCCAATTTTCCTAAAATATTCCATAGCGATATCCAAAAAAACAAAACCTGTGTGCGACTTCGAGCAATTTCGAGTCAGTTATCAAGAGTATTAAATGGCCAAATAGAAAAGATAACGAGAATCTTATCAATGTTTGGGATTACCTCTTGAATTTGTGGAGGAACAGTCGCAACGGCTGTACTGGTGGTGGCCATCTCTTCAGAAATAAATGTCCGCTGACGCTCTCCCATGAAACAAGTCTTCGTGTAGAATATACATTCACATTATACGTATGAAAAGAAGTTCAGCAACCGCTCGTAGACCGCATTAATTTACTAACCTTTCGGTATCTCCGTTCTAAAATTTATATCTTACGCAACTGTCAAATTTTGACATTGACAGTTATAGTTACGTTTTTTATTCTCTAAAGTAGAGCTTAGTAGACTTTCCTATGTAGTAAGTTAAATTATTATAAACAAAACATAATATTATTAATCGAGTCGGTTACGATATATTTTATCCAGGGAAGATAAAATTACAAATAAAAGATAAAAAAAATTAAAGTAACTATTGCCATCTGCATAAATTAGTCAAAACAATTTACAATTTTAAGATTCAAAGAGTTTCAGCTTTGGTGGTAGGTGTCTCTGTTCTGTAACAGTCTAATTTAGGAGGATTAATGTGGGTACCAAAAATAAAATTTGTACGCTTAAAATCTATAGATAGATACATTTCAATTCATTATAGTAAATCACGATTTAGATCAAAAATGTCTGATTATAATCACATTCAGTAATGATGTTCATCCGTACAATGCACGGTCGGATACCACAATCGAACAAAGTTTTTTTTATATCTGTTATGAAATGAAAAAGTATGAGATTTTTCGTAACTATAGTACCTACCCAAGAGATAAAAAAAATATAAAATAAAATACAGTGATCTTTTTGTGAAGTTTTTATGAAGTACCTGCATATCTTTTTTCATATTTTCTTAATTTTGATTACTGGTCCTTAAGGTTTAAAATTGTAGGTTTAAATGATTTTTATCCAAAACGTACTATTCCTTATGAAAAGATTTAAACAAATCAGTCAGACAGTTTTCTTTTACGCGAAAGATATTACAAGCCTCAATTTTGGTATCGAACAGGCCACACGTTTTTTTCATAAGTCTTATGAGGAAAACAAAATGGCCGCCTTAAAATACAAAATGGCAATAAAAAACCAGTCTATGGGTAACAGAATCAAACAGCCGATTAATGAATGTCGAATACAATTCTCGCTTCTCGCTTCGTTTGTCTCTCATATAATGTAATTTGTAGGAGTGGTCACAGTGGTTTAGTTAATTTGGTGTATCTGTCTGAAACGAAGTTTTACTATCATTTCTATTTAAACCGAATTATTTTTGTGAGCAGTCATAAACGTCGTTCCCCGCTCGTAAACATGTTTCACTATGATGGCAGTTGATGGCGCGAACTTAAATGTTCAATCATTATATCAACGCATTTCTTAAGTGTTAGTCATTAGTATATTGAGTAAAAATATGTAAAAAATCCTTGAAAGTTTATTAAATATTTAAATGCAAAGATAGAAAAACTAAAGAAGAAATTGCCTATTAACCATTGTAATTTAATTAGATCCTACTTGATTGGTAGAAGTGCCTTCTTCATTAAACACCCTTCCAAATTTTGTTAGTCTGTTACACGCAGAGGCAGTCGTACTATACAGTCTTCTGTTCTGCTACCTCGTTTGCGGATATTAGCTCTTCGCAGCACCATATGTTTCCACCAGGTGACCCGTCTGCTCGCTTGCCCTCTCTTCCATAAAAATAAATAAATATTCGCAGCACCGACTGCCATGACAAGAGTACTGCTAGCCCAGGATGGGCACCCCACCAGTGTGTGACTACAGCGTCAAAAACATTCAGTCTGCTTTAATTTCCTTTTTAACCCCCGACGCAAAAATGACTGGTTGTTATAATAATAATAAGTTTGACGTGTCTGTGTGTGTGTGTGTGTTTGTCTGCCTGTGGCATCGTGGCTCCCGAACGGATGAACCGATTTTGTTTTTTTTTTTGTTTTAAAGGTGAATTAGTTGGGAGTGTTCTTAGCTATGTTTGATGAAAATCGGTTCAAGATAACCGCCGCCACAAAATGGCACAAAATGAAAAAAAAGAATTTATAACTCCCTCAATCAATATGGGTATCACATGAAAGGATAGGACTAGTAGAATACTATACACTATGACAAATTCATTTCAAATCCAAAAAGTGTCGGTGGTTTTTTTAAATTTTTCATTTATACTAGTTTTAGATCCTTGTTATTTCGACAATTTTCAAATTGAAATTTTTGTTTAGTTCTATTTCCTCGGATTGCATAGGAATCGTGGCCCCTAATATTTTATGGTCTTGAACTTCCAAAAACTATAATCTAGGCGTCTTTAAAAGAATCTTCAAAAGCCTTTGAGCTTAATCGGTTCAGAATTTTTTGAGTTTTTAAAGCGTAAGTATACAAAGTAACTTAACATTTAAATATACATATTTTCAGAAAAGAGTTGCTAGTATTGTATGACAAGAACTTTCCGATGTAAACCATGTTAAATAGGCTTGTGTCCACTAATAACTAATTGCTTGGTATATAGTTTCAAATTATAAATGAAGAGACATCGATAAGAAATAATCACTCTATTTCTCATAAAAGTTAAAGATTATTAATATTTCTAAAAAATAAATTCGAACAAAATAGGCATTAAGTCACGTGACAGCGAACATCAATCAGAAAATGTTACGTCACGCCACGTAAAACATCATTGTTGTTGTTGACGTTTTCATACAACAGAGCAGGTTACTCCTTATTCCTTTTTCATTTTTTGAAAACAGTTGACACTGGACACAGATGTAAACAGTTTTATTTCGCAGACTGTGACATCATTCAAGACGCCATGACACTATTCAGCGTTTTCGAAGAAAATGTAATTTTTTTAAAATACAAAATGCGTAATGTAAATATTGCTTTTTCTTTAAAATATAGGTTTTTTGGGATAAAATAGATGTTAAAGTATGTAATTAAACAAATTTTCAAATTGAGTCAACTAGCCTATTCGGTGCCCTGTGTAATTGAAATTACTAAAGAAATATACACTCAATTTAAGAGTCGTTGACTGTAGAGGACAGAAATATTAGTTACTACCTTTTGCCCGCGGCTCCGCCCACGTGTTTGGTGGTTTCGCGGTGAAAAAAGCCTATGTTACTCACTGATAATGTAGCTTTCTGTTGGTAAAATAATTTTTATAATTGGTTTAGTGGTTTAGGCGTGAAAACTTAATAAACAAACAAAGTTACTTTCCCATTTATATTATAAGTATGGATGGATTGTTCCTATTTATTATGACTAGCTTTTCTAGCTTTCGTAGAGGATACGCTATTGCTAAAACTAACGAAGTTTCATATAAATTTCCAACCCCCATTTGGAACCCTTAGGGGTGAAACTTTGAGGAATCCTTTTTTAGTGTAAACTTAAGTTACCTAAGGAACATTTGAGCAAAATTTTATACTTCGAGACCCAGCGGATCAGTCAGTGTATCAGTCTGTAAGTTTCGTCTTTTATAGATATTAATATTAGGTCCTTACATTTGAAATTGGCGTTTTGTACGGGTGGAATATAAAGTCATTTTTTTTTGTAAAATATATTTAACTAGCTGACCCTGCAAACGTTTTGCTATTTACATTTTTTTTTAATTTCTTAAAACCCGTTCTTAGCTGACCTCTACTCGGTGAAAAGAATATTCCTAAAAATTTCAAGTCTTTAGCTCTAATGGTTCCAGAGATATCGTGATGAGTGACCATATACATGGAAATCTCTTATATATATATATATATATAGATTAATTAAAGTATGCACCGTTGTTATCTATGCACTGTTGCCATCTCATAGGTAGTTCATTGATCCATTTACTAGAAAAAGGGGGCGAGAATCAATAAATTCTTTGAAGGCGGTTTGGACTGCCGCATCGGAGTTGTTTTTTTTTCCTTGTAAGAAGTTGTCTAAATTCCGGAAAAAATGGTTAGCTGTTGGAGCAAGGTCTGGGGAGTACGGTGGATGTCGCAGACATTCCAAAGAGCGATTGACCGATCTCGGTTGTTTAGCAACTAGTTCTTCCTTCATGGTTTGCAGTTGCTGACAATAGATATCTGCCGTAATCGTTTGGCTAGATTTTAGAAAGGTGTAGTGAACGACACCGGCGCTAGTCCACCAAACACTCACAAGTAACTTTTTCTGAGTCAATTTTTGTTTAGGGCAGGATTTGGGTTGGTATCCAGGGTTCAGCCATTGCGACGAGCGCTTTCGCTTATCGTATAGTATCCAATTTTCATCACAAAGTAATGATTCGATTTAAATCCTTTCATTATTGTGTCGGTTGAGCAAAGTAACACAGCAGTCGACGCGTGTTTGCAAGTTCGATTCACTCAATTCATGAGGTACCATTCGTTCAAGTTTTATTTACTTTCCCGATTTGCTTCAAGTGGATTAATATAGTTTTATCGCTTACCCCGAAGCCGGCAGCTATCTCTAAAGGCTTTGTGATGGATCCGCTTCCACAATAGCTTTTAATTCTTCATTTTCCACTTTGGTCTCCGGCCGTCCACGGGGTTGGTTCTGGTCGAAATTTCCAGAACGAAAACGTTGAAACCAAAAACGTACCGTGATTTATTTTGCGACACCAGCACCGTACACATCATTAATCCTTGGAGCTGTTTTTGCAGCACTGGTGCCACGGTAGAACTCGTACTCGTAAATATACCGATATTTCATGTTTTCCATTGTGCGGTAATAAACGACGCCAAAGAAAAAAAATGAATGACTGTTTTCAAAATTCAAATGTACCAGCTAAATGTATTTATAAATTTGAATTTAGAATTCTTAACCAAAGAGGAGATATTTCAGATCAAAGTGGTCAGTACGACAAAACGCTAATTTCATATGTAAGGATCTAATATTATGACAACATTTCAGAATTTTCACCTGACTCAGATTTCAACTAATTTT